TGCTGCTCCCGACAATGTTTTTGTTATATATATATATATTTTTTTAGCTTTCATTTAATGGAGCACATTAAACGGATACCAAAGTGAACGTGCGAATCCACGCAATAAACTAAAAGGACATCTCGAAAACACTCACGGGCAGGCACTCTTGGCAGTGATCATTTGTAAAAGGACGACGCTACCTGCAAGCATCCAACCCGGCGGGAACGTTTAATCCGAAGTAGAAATGGCACCGACTCATTGGTGCTACCCTCCCCCCCACCCCACGCTAACACGATGCGATGGGCATGTGGCTCACGGCTGTGGAATATTTGGCTACTGCCATACGGCCATATGGCGTGTCACCGTACATCACGTTGTCCTTTATTACACATTTTACTTGGACAGCGCTGCAGTTTGTGGAGTGCGCGCATTGTAATTGAAAAATACAACCGCTTACACATACGTAGCAATAATGGCGAACACGGCGATTGCTTCGAACACAACGGCATATTCTCTCTTCCTTTTTTATTTTAAGACTGTGAAGTGAAAATAGCACAAGCATCTCAATCTCATCTCCAGTTAAATGCATCGTTTCAAGTGTAAATGTAATAAATGTCCCTTATTTCACAATAAAAAAAAATCTTATGAAACATTTCAGCAAAAGCACCGACAGCTCTTTGTGGTCGGAAGATACAGTGACATTTTGCTCGGCATACAAACGCTTTCCAATGAATACCTTAAAGTCGACGATTAGAAAACAATGGGTGACAGTAGATTTAATTTATCTCCAATGTACACAATGCATAACGCGTTATAAACTTTCCATTCATAAAGCTTTAATGAGCATTGTTAAAAACAGAAATCTTTCATTCGTATATAAAGACGATCTTTTCATTATGCCCCCCAAGCCCATGATTTAATTACAACATTATTTACATTGTAGGAAGTAATTTAAATCGGCCCTCTGATGGTTGGTATAGTGCTCCGTCACTTGACAATAAACATCAGACACATTATCTAAAAGAACTAGCACAGTTTTTTCATCAAAAGGCAAACTTGTAAGAACCAGTGTCGGATCTTTTTTTTATATATATATGAAGAAACGATATTGTTAGTACTATTCAACATAACGTGGAATAAATTATTTATTTAAAAAGTGGGAAAAATAACGAATAAGCTTCCGCAGGAAAGTGGTGTAGCAGGGCATTAATAAAACCCAACGAATGGGCCTCGAGCCTCGGACACTAAATAGCGGGCAATTTGATGAGTAGAGTTCTGAGGACTGACGATGTTTATGAGCGATGTTATGGGCGTGACGGAGGAGGTGTGGGCTGTTGTGTCGGCAACGAGTATACACCTCCAATTAGCACGGTTGGCTACGTACGGTGCGAAGGAAGTTCAACATACGTATACATATATACCCAAAAGGGAGGTGATGCTTAGATTGAGCTGTCACTAAATGCATGTTTCCATCTGGATATTTGTTCCTCCAGGGACGAATATATTGGTTTCCCCGAGGGAAGGAATATTCAGGAACTGTTTCCCATTCTGAATATCTGTATTCGTCTATATTTTTGTTGTTGTTACAAATGCTAAAGCGAGCACGAACAAATATTCAATCGGTAGGAAGCAATTTTCGCCAAAATATTTGCTACTGTCTGAGGTGGAACGAATATTGTTTAGAACCAATATTGATTTACATTATCGTGTGCACCGTCAGGAACGTGCGTCTATTAACACAAAGCCCACCGCTACGTTGTCGTGTCCCAGCAGACAAACCAACCTGCACACCTTCATAGGTAATATGCTTTAGCAGTTTTTCACTTAACGCGTGTGCGCGTACTGGAAAGCTGCCGGAAAGTGAAGGTTCAAGCCACTGGCTGATGACGCTCGTGGCTTGCTATCTTCTTTCAGAGCTGTTGAATGAGAACATTCAACCGTGACGGGTATCCAACCTTATGCCACGAAACTCGGGGTACGTGTGCCACTGCGCTGCACGCCGTTGGAGAGAACGTGAGCTCCGTGTGTTCGTCGTCTAAACAAATCTCACAACAGTTGTTTTTAGTAATTTCCACTAAAATATTGGTGAAGAATATAGAGTTGGTTATAAGAAAAATGAAATGCTCTTAAAATCGTATAAATACTTCTGTGGTTGTTTGAGGGGAAAAAAATGTACTGATTTATAAACAACCTATTTAAAATGCCTATTTAAAACTGCATCATAAAAAAAAACATCCATTTATTATCCCATTACACGTTATTTCGTTTGACGAAGCAAGCTCCACTGTAAGCCCAGTAAACATGCATGTGGTTGGAACCGTTGAACCAAATTTGGTCCAACGTTCTATGCTTACTGGGAGACAAAGATCCCCCGTGTAGCCTTAACAGACTGTTGGGACAAGTGATGCTAGTGAACACTTATGAAGGCACACGAGGGGGTGGGTGGCCAGCACCACGACCGGCTGCCTTTGTCTCCCCAGTCGTGATGTTTACACAACCCAATAGGTACTCATTTGAGGCTGAGTCGACCTAGGGGAGGCCCAGGACTGGTGGAGATAATCGTCACTGGTGTTGACCGTGAGCGGGAATCGAACTCGGGTGTCTGAGCAGTGTGTGGCATCACAATTTATTGGCCTGACAGTCATGATGTTTGACAATGTAATGGTCTGGTGAATTGATGTGATACATCACATGGCCTCTTACGGCACCTAGCCTGGCACAAGCACCGAAGTGACGTCACGTGGGGATCTGTGATGTAGTAGTGTCGTGCACTGGGTTACAATTCCAGAAAACTTGCTTCGATTCCAGACCAAAGCTAACATCGGTGACACTTGGTGTCTGAACCTGTCTGGGGCCTCCCCTGCACAGATTCAGCTTTATGTATGGTGTGGCGCATCAGCATCGGGGAGGAAAAGGCAGTCCGGCGTGGTGCTGTCCACACAATCCTCTTGTGTGCTGTGCTAGCATTAAGAGGCACTTGTTAACAACACGTGCCCCCTATAGCCAATAAGGCTAAGCAGGGGGCAGGGGAGGGGGGTCTTCGACTGGTTACAGTGAATGCGTGTTAATATATAGCATTAAAAACGTGCTGCTTCGATGACGTTAAGCAAGGGAGAAGACCCAATAACAGTTCGTAGAGAAGCCATGGAGATTTCAATGGGCCTTCTTATGGAAATATATTGTGTGTGCTCTCTCGTCCAATGCCTATATTCTCGTGGCCTAAAAGGGTACCTAGCCTGGCACCAACATAATGGTGACGTTACCACCACTTGGCGAACTGCGTCAGCTGATGCATACATTCGTGTGTGCGTGCGTGTGGTGTGCATGACACTTCTCCTTGCAGTTACTATTGCTTGGTTAAAAGTTTTTAGATTCAGTGAGGCTTTCCTGGGTAAACAAGCGTAGTAGTAGTAGTAATAATAATAATAAAACAATGCGCGTGAACCCTTAAGCTGTAACGTGCTAGTGTTTCACCGACAGACGCTCCGGTTAACGGTCACCGCACGGACATGGTTTGAGTGACCTTGCCAGCACTTCCCAAGGCCGCCGCGCACACCCTCCCTTCAGGCGCAATCCATGCCGCACATCTCGCACAAAATCACAGATAGCCACTCAGCAAAAATTGTGAACTACGTTTTTTTTTTAAAATGTCTGGTGTTGGTGGGTAATTTGTTCTCTTAAAATGAATAATTACCGTCTCATGCTTTTCTTATAAATTCCCCGCTGAATTGCCTTGATTATATATTAACATTCCTATTGGCACGCTGGTCCCGTTAGTGATAATGTCACGTCGTTACATATCATGTTAAGCTAATTCCTCCAATGAGAAATAAAGCATCTGCTTTACTAGCACATTAACATTCCTGCCCACTGACACGTGATCGTGAAAATGGGATTACACATATATGTGAAATGCTGTCCGGTATTGTATCGTATATTAACTTTGTTTTCAGGTGCTCTTTGAACAACATTGGTTTGCTGCTTGTAAACGTGCATATATATCTATGTGTTTTTTTTTACTTTCTAGCGTGATCCCTTCATTGATGGGCTTATTATTGTTATCATCCAATTCCAGAAAACTATTTTTTTCCCACTTAAAAATTGCACAAAAACAATTCAACCAACCAGCTGTCCAACAATCTCCTCTGATGTTAAGATTATAGGCGGCCGTAGCAAATTATTTGGCAGTCTCTACTCTTTTAAAGTGCTTGCCGATTCGCGTGAAAATGTCAGCCTTAGTTAAGACTGCAGCCCGTGATGAGTGGTTCTCAAAGAAATTGTGAGGTCACGTTTTTGGTCCAGAACCCAGCTGGCATGAGCTTATCACAAGGAATGTCCCCAAGAAACCACAAGGTCATGTCCAGAAAATATGTGGCAGAGGCCCTTTAGCAATGAACTGTAGTCAGAGAATTCTGCCTTTGTCTCTACTAACCGGTAATTTGCATTGCCATTGGCAGATGGTGGATGGGGAGTGGGGGAGGAGTGATGTGTGGCCCTGGATAATATGGTATTTGTCCAAAGAGCAGCATTCCTTAGTTATGGGGAAAATTAACCCCTTTGGATTGGTTGTACTCAGATGTAATTTACAAGAACAACACAAAATAACGTTATGTTTTAACTTCACACATTTTAGTGTAAAAAAAATCTCATAAAAACATTCCAGTGACTGGACATAGTGCGTGTTCATTATTTTACAACGATTTAGCACTAAGCTACCCCTTTGCTTGACAATGTTGGTCTTTAACTTTGGTCCTCATACCAGTGTTGATGAAACAAAACAAGGCACTCCGTTTAATCCCTTGTGCATAGACATTCACTCGTAGTACCTAATGCATTTTAACCTTTTGACGGATAAAGAAAACAAGACATTATATATTTATGCTAAAACATCACCAGCTGTATTAAACATCTTCACATATATATCTGTCACAACCTATCAAAAAACACTTGCGATACTTACATTTTTTTCGGACTAAGTGTATTATCGTAACACCGTGGGTTACGCAGTATTTTTACACACACACACACGCGCGCGCGCGCGCACACCAAACAACAGCCAGGCGTGAGCTAAAATATCTTAACATTCAGTGTCTGACTTTCCCCTTGTCCTTTGTTGGTCCATTAACAGCGTTAAATAAATCTTCCACAGGTTAAGCTTCATTGATCTCCCCAGTAACACCGGTCCTGGTTTGCAGAGTGACCGTAGTAACGCTCCCTTCACCAGCGGCCACTCTGAGTGGCCAGCTCACTCTGGTGTCGTGGTAACCGTCCGCTGGCACCACCCTCCAGGAAGGCGGAGCGAAGCGGGTAGTCAAAGAGCTTCCTCCGGCTCTTGTTCAGGTCTGCATGCGAACACAAAGATCCTCTGTATAGCCTTTATAACAGACTGTTGGGACAAGTGATGTTAGCGAGCACATATGAAGGCTGGCACGGCACACGAGGGGGTGGGTCGCCAGCACCACGCCCGGCCGCCTTTGTCTCCCCAGTGCTGATGTTTTACACACCGCACCAGGTACTCATTTAGTCCACCCAGGGAAAGCCCACCAGGACCAGTTCTAAAATTTCACGATTGTTATTGGTCACGAACGGGAATTGAACTCAGTCACCGGATCTTTTGCAAAGTGCGCTAACCACTGTGCCACGCACAGACAAATATCTCCCGTATAGCCTTAAACAGACTGTTAGGGCAAGTGCTGTTAGTGAGCACCAATGAAGCCCAGCATGATGCATGATGGGATGGATGGCTAGCACCATGCCTGGCTGCTTTTTTTCTCCCCCGTGGTGATGTTTACAGACCGCACCAGGTACTCATTTGAGACTGAGTCGAACGAGAACGGTCCAGGCTCGTTCAGATAATCATCACAGCTCTTGGTGGCCGTGATTGGGAACGGAGTTCGGGTCACCGGGGTTCGTAGAGCAGCACACTAACCACTGTCCCACCACTCCCCCACTGCGCCACACACACACGTGTTTGCGTGTGTGAGGAGCGGTGGTGCAGCGGTTTGCGTGTTGCGTTACCACGAGTACCAGGTGTGGAAGCATCAGCATTGGGGAGACAAAGGCGAGGTCCTGGCCACAACCCTCTAGTTTGCTGTACGGGCCTTAATAGGTGCCTGTCTGTGCCCACTAACAGCACTTGCCCCAATGGTCTGTGTGGGCTATATGGTGGGTCGTTGCTTGTCCGTGTGTGTGTAAATGTGCGTTGATGCATAGATGACAAGTGTGCGTGACTCGGTGAGTGTTGACAAGTCGGTGTGTGTCAGCGTGTGTGTATGTATATGTATATATATCCGCGTGCGCATGTGTGTGTGCTTGTACATTGTTGTTGGGAGGTGTGACAATGCGATATGGTGACAGACTGGTTAATGCCAACATGGCCAGTCTGGTATGCAATGAGAGAATTCAACAAGAAAACCTCAAAATCCCTCTACGTCACACACAACACATCTCTCGCGGCTGTAACGCGGAGTGGATTAGAGTTTTCTTTGCAGTTAAAACCCCCCACGGACGTAAGCACAGCCCAGACTTCTCACTGACGGTGACATAACAAACGGGTAGTCCACAATATGCCTTCGTAGGGGTGGACAAAAATAAACGTTTTTATTGTAATCCTACATCTCTGATATTTACGACTGTATTTTTCTTCATCTGGGTTGCTGAGCACGTTGTTGAAAAGCCCAAAATGCCAAACGATCGGAAACAACCTGCATTATTGAATGTGCAATAGATAAGAGTTGATGTGTTTTAATTGAGCACTGTAATAAGGAATTTGCAAAAGAGACGATAGGAGGGAATTCCATTCCAAGAGAGGTTGGATGGATGTCCAATAAGCTGGGCGCCACAATAGCCGGGTTGTGAACTACTTTGCCTGGTATGCAGGAGGTCGTCGGCTTAATCCCGACCCTGACGCCTGTATATTTGGAGTTTGCATGTTCTCCCCGTGGTCATGAAGATTTTACTCCGGGTCATCCGGTTTTTCTCTCAAGATTTATAAACGTGCATTTATAGTGCATTTTGGCTACTATAAATTTCCACGTGATAAGCCAATAAAATTTGTGGCTAATTCGTGGCCAAGTTGCTTCTGAAAAAGAGCTACATAGCTCAGTGGGCCTTACCTGTACAATAAAAATAGTAATAGTAAAAATAGTAAGAGCTGAGAAAATAATTAGCTCCCATTGTAAACTGGGCTGCAGACTCCAATAGAATATCTATAAATCAATCATTTATAGCAATTTATCCATTCACTCTGAAATGACAGACTCTCTAAGAAGGAGGTTTATTGACCATACTTCACCATGCTGGTCTGTGCAAGTTTCTAAAGTTGTGGTGGGTTGGGGGGGAGTGCAAGGCTCGTTCCAAATATCACTCACTGCTAGCGGCGACCGGAATTCAAACATACCTTACCGGGTTCATAGCCCATCATGTTATCAATACTAAATTATCCCGTCGATCAGCGTCAATACTGAGGACTTTGCGTGGCAGAGTTTGGCAGTCAGCACCTCCCAGCTGGGCTTACAGGCCCTGGACAGCTGCAAAAGAATAACTTAATGTGACAGGATGAGGGCGGTGAGTCTTTGCTGACCTTGAATGTGACAACAGGAGCCAGGCCTTTTCCAGAGGGAATCGACGCCAATCGCGTTTTGTGGAGAACGTTTTGAAATTAGTAAAGTGAGCTCCCCATGGCGTTAGCAGCTTTTGAAGTGTCATCGTTATTATCATCAGTCACGATCCATCCATTGCTAGATGCAGGCCTGCTCACAGTACTGCGATGTAGCAATCCACCTACACATGAGCTGATTTCATCACTCCGTCTCCCCAGTGGACACATTCTTGCGTGGGGTTTCCTCCCTTGCCTGCCACTCCATCATTTATTCACAAGCACCAGCAATTATCCCTTCCAGTGGCATGTCCTGTGCAACCCAAACTAACGTTTCTTAACAGTCAGAATGATGTCTCTTTAGCCCGCATATATTCTTAAAATCATCCACGTTTTCCTCTTTGGTTTCTCTCACCATAATTGCAAGCGTACATTCTCACCCACGCTGCTTTGAGCGGAGATGTGCATATGAAGTGTACTGAACGATTTGTATGCGATGTAAATGCACCGCAATTTGGGCACTCTTCAACCAGGGCAAAATCATCTGCCCGCCACGGAAGAAGGAGCTGTCATTCACGTTTGAAAATTACTTTGGCAACGGATCAAGCCACAGTGAGTGTCAGGTGGTCTCGGACTGGGCGTTAATGAAATGTTCCACGGAAATAAGGGACCGCTTCAGCGAATTGCAGCACCTGGTTCACCTTTATAAAATTGGTCTAGGCCAGATGAAAGCTGGTTATATATATAAAAGTATTGCTACTGATCCACCTTCTCCTCCTCCTATCCGAACGTCCAATACACTGAGGGTGTAAACCACGTGCGGTTGGGGCATGCTCCCTGCACCTCCCTGGTCTAATGATTTAACATCAATTTGACACACTTGACACAGGTCACCTGGCTTCTAAGATAGAGGGTATGTTCGTTTAGCTATAACCAGCTTATTTTAAATTGGGCCTTTAAAAATACATTTCGAGAAAATTCCGCCTTGCAAAAAGACACTAACACAAATCGGCTGCCAATCTATCGTTTGCTTTGCTTCGTAAATTATTGAGCGTGGGAGGGAAGTGGAATGTCAGGAGAAAATGCAAACAAGGGAAGAACATATTATTGGTTCTTTCGGTAAAGTCACATAGAAGGGAAACAATAAAATAATAAATAATATTTTTATTGTTTCCCTTCTATGTGACTTTACCGAAAGAACCAAGAATATGAATCCCTGCAGTCACACAAGCTTTAAATCAAAAGGGAAGAACACTCAAACTTCAAATACACCGCATGTCCGTAAGATACTCGCTCTACTTTCTCATAAGAAGCAGCCCGTTTTTTTTTTACCACATTGTCACTTCCAACTTTGCTCATTCAATGAATCTATGGGCTCAACCATGGCAGTGTGGAATTTGCACGGACGGGTTCCAACAGAGTTGAGTACTGCGGCAAAACACACTTTAGTATGTAGAGGTAGTGACGCGTAACAATGAGATGTATAATTATTATTTACAACTCTTTGCAAAGTACGCTGCTCGATGATGGCCTCCATGTCCATTATGGGGGTTTGATTTATTATACATCACCACGCTGGCCCATTCAGGTTGGTAAAGGTAGGAGTGACCAGGACCGGTCGCCTCACTGATGTGAGCCTTGGCCGGTAATTGAACCAAGGACACTGGGATTATAGTGCACTGCTGTTCTTCCCAATGATATATATATACATATAACATGTAATATTTGGTCGAACTCCCTATGCATGGGCATTTAGGTTGCCATCTCCTGGCTTGCCAGGGTATGGCAGCAAGTGAATTAATTTTCATCTGTACTGAGATTGAGTGTTGTCCCCCTCGTACACGTGGGTTTCCTCCAGGCACTCCCGTCTCCTCCCACGTGTATAAACACTCATTAATGGATAATAACGTTTTTGTTGGTTTAGATTGCATAAATATGAATGTGTCGTTAAACCCGCCACCTCCCCACACAGCCAATGACTAAATGACTGTGGCAGGTGGATAATATTGGTCGCGAAAGCCTACATGTTAAACTCATGAAGAGAGTTGGCCAAAGATTATGATAAAGGACCACTGATATTGGGCAGTTGATGGTGCCGGTTCTGGCTGCATTCTCGTTTGTCTGTGGGGTTTCTCCCCATGCCTCAGTGCGGAAACTGGCCGCGTTACAAATTGTACACAATTTTTATTTGCGTGAATAACGCAAGATAACAAAAAAAAATCTGAAATTACAAAAAAATGAATACGTGGGTTTTTCGGTGGAAGTTAATGGTTTCCGGTGAGTATGCAGGTTGGACATAGGGGAGTGGCCCTGCGTGCCATGCCAGTTAAGTTCACCGGAGATGGCGAGGAGCATCTTGCGTCGAGCGCCGAACGTGCTGATGCCCAACTCCTTGAGGTCTTGGTCGGTCAGCGACAGGAATGTCTGCAGGTCGATCTGCAAAATCCAGGAAAAAAAAGCGATGAGGGAGCTGAATAGATCAGATGGCTCTTACCACGTCAGAGCACTGACCCGGCACCGCTGAGAACCTGGATTCAAATCCAGTTTTCAGCTGGCGATGATTAAGCTGAGTTCTCGAGTGTAGTGAGTTGATGGTCTCAGCCCAGTTACCACCTGACTAAAAAAAATAACTCGCGTATTAAATTTGTTTTTTTAATTAATCTGGCATACTTCCAGTTCAGATTATTAAAAAAAAAATTGGTTTCATTGTCATGTGATGTGCACCTATATAGCAGGGCATGTGAGTACATGTGCCACAGGGTGTGGACAAAAGGCAACTGAAAATGTCTCCAAAGGAGTTCTGCGATATCTCCTTTAACAGGCGATTCTCTAATATGTGGTGATGCACTGTTCTATGAATGGAAATTAATTTGTCATGAAATGACAGCTAAAAGCATAAAAAGGCAAAACACATAAATAATATAATGGTGCTGTGCTGTCCATTTATATTCAGACTTTTGTCTGAATTGTGCATGCTATAGAATTAGACCTAACAAAAGGGATTGATTTGACCACAGCTGCAGAGATGTTCCAAGCCACAGAAGCCTTACCTTGCAGCTTGTTAAACAAGATAGGCTATAACATGCAGTGTTCACATCGCGGGTGCTATTACACAATGTGTAGGAATTGCTCGCAAAGCCATGCAAGGCTGAAAAGCCTTGCACCCCCCACACACACATGCATGGTTGAATTTCGTGTAAGGCAACCACTTCATCTCAACGCCACAACGTATATGCATACACGGAGGCTTTCGCGATCAATATCATCCATAGTAGAGCTTTTTTTGGGTTAGATCGCGTAAATATATGTGTCGTTAAAACCCGCCACCACCCGACACAGCCAACGTGTAAGGGTTGTCACGTAAACAGAACATGGTAATTCGTCACCAGTACAGCATACCGGTGTGTTGGAGAGCCAAGATTGTTAATGTTATGGCTTGGAGCATATGCATACATTGCGTCTCACAGAGGGCATTTAACACTCGCTCACCAATTCTCTTCGCAAAGGCGTGACATGAGACTCTGAGGAGCTGCCAGTTTGCTCAATTTCCCACAAAGTGCACGGGTGACACCGCAACTATGATGCACGGTATTTGGAACCATCGCTTCGACACGGAGGAGGTTGATGTAATAAAGTGGTGGAATGTTGTCATCGGTGTTATCGCTGCATTTCCCCAGCTCCTCATCTTGTCTTAAAAGCGTCCTGCGATGATGAGCAGCTGTTTGGAAAATGTTGCGTCTTGGAGACGAATGGACGATTGAGCACCGCCTGCTGCACTTGCACGTCGCTCCACTCACTTCCCCTTCTCTCCAGAGTGGCGGGCAGGTGGAGAGAGATGAGGCAGATGCGGTCCACAGTGGACCTCACCACATCGGTGGCAGGCAAATGCCGGTCTGCACCTCCAGGGTGCATACATGCAATGGCCTTGCAGGCGCGCATTCACCGCTTGTTTCGGAGGTCCATGCCTCTAACCGAGCGGCTGCCCTGTTTCAATATTGCGGGTGTTTTAACCAAAAGAATACTACGCGCCATCTGCTTCGCAGTGGATGACAAACATCCCGTGAGTAGGCCACTGTGTGCTGGCGTCATGGTCCAAATTTGCAAAAAAAAAAGCTAATTAACACTGATAATTACTCAATTTAGATTATGCATAGCAATCATTGCCCCCTACTGAGAAAACCTGGCAGGACCCTTCTGAAAAAGCGTCATGAGACTCGGCGAGTCTATGCTGGGTAAACAAGCGCAGCAATTTTGATTTAAAGCTTTCGTGACTGCAGTAATTCATATCCTTAGTTTTTTCGGTAAAGTCACGTTGAAGGGAAACAACAAAATAATAAAATATATATAAAACAATAAAAAAAATTCTCACGACGTTTCGACCATAACTCAAATGGTCGTCTTCACACCTGAAGACGTCTTCACACCTGAAGACGACCATTTGAGTTATGGTCGAAACGTCGTGAGAATTTTTTTTATTGTTTTATATATATTTTATTATTTTGTTGTTTCCCTTCAACGTGACTTTACCGAAAAAACTAAGAATAAGCGCAGCAATGTAATAGTGCAGAATCAAGGGCAAACCGAGCCCACGCAGATAGCATCGTGGTCTTGAGGGATCGTGGAGAGGAGGCAAACATCACTTATTTTGTTTGAATGTGCCGTTTAATCGAGTGAGAATTTATGAAAATCAGGGGTATGGTATGCTTTTTTTTCTTTTTATCCATCCCACTGATATCCATCCTTGTAATTTATATCGTGAATGTTTTTGGAATACGTGCATTTGATATATATAGTAAATATACTTGAAGGATACATAAGTGACACGTGATACATTCCACCAATTGTTTGACCCTGGCTTTCGGCTGGACGCCTGTGACACATCGCTGCATAGCTCATCGGCTTCTTGCAGCTTAAATCAAACGTCTATGTCTACATATGTCTAACCGATTACAGACAGCTCTTGTCTGGAGATTACTGTAAATATATATAAACATACAACACCAACATAGCACATGAAGCCAGAAGTTAAAGTCAGTAGTTCAGGTATTGGAGAAATGCAAATCCTTATCATTAACTTATATAAATAAAAACAGGACAGTTCTGCTTCCAATAAGGTGAGATATTTCTGCTGCTTTTTAAATTTAAACCCAGTGTGTTTCTGAGATCCCAGGGACCCAAGTCACGACCAGATACTGTTAGAAGTGGGGACAAAGATACAACTATGGTTGCCACTTGTCCTGGTTTTCCCAGGAAGTTCTCTTTATGAGGCAGCTGTACTGGGAAATCTGTAAGTCCCGGTGTTAGTCCATTGCGTAATAATAATGTACCACTTCAAGACAATGCTTGTACATGTAGTTCCCCCCTTTTCCACCATTCTGAGATATTCTTCTTCTCAAAATATGTCCGGGAGTTTTCTGGACAGGTTTCCCTCGCTTTATGTGGGTTTGTGCGATTTTTTGCATTCATGCGGCTAACATATTTCTACCCAAATGTCTTCTCGATGCGGCTTTGAATTCACTCGCGCGCGGCTACGTGGTCGGATGTGGAACTCAGCAGGCAGCTTTCTTGTGCGATTTCGCTTTGTGCGCCGTTTTCTTTGTAAGGGAACCTGTACATCAATGAGGGGGAGATTCACGGGTGCCAGGCCTCACCTCCTGCTGCTGGAATATGTCGGTGTACTTGCCCAGGCCCAGTTTGCTAAAGAGCTCGGGGAGGTCGGAGCTGCCGCTGCTGCTGCTGCCGCTGCCGCCGCCGCCGCCGTTCCCCTTGATGGCCGAACCCATGGAGCACCCAGTGCTAGCTATGCCCGTGGGAGTTCGCGGCATGCTCTCCATGTAGCCACTGCTGCTCAGGTAGTGCTCATCTGCAAGGCATCCAACACACAGCCATCAGCGGGCAACGCGCGCGCACCGGTGGAAAGCCTCGTATAATAAGAGGCTGCAACGAAAGGGATGCGTTGAAATTTGGACAGATTTTCAGATTTAACAATGGCTGACAGAGTAGTTGGAATGGAGATGCGGTATTCTACGATAACGATAACAAGATGTGCAAAATCCCAGTGTCATAAAATTTTCCACGATGTTGGTACAAATGAAGGGTGTCCTGGCAAAACTCAATCACTCGATAACATGTGTTACCTTCATTTGAAGACTTTACAATCCTCTTTTGATCGCTTTTATCATCTCCCCGCAGATGACCGCACAATAATTCACTCTTTCTCCCACTGAATGAGGCTATTCTAAACAGGTCTACTTCATGAACAATTAAAATGTGGATTATAAGCTTTTTCCAAGGAACCCTCAAATGTAATGGTTACTTGAATAGCACCCTTATGCAATGGACACACAAATACAAAACATATGTACAGCAAGTGTGATGTTGCATGTGTGTGTGTGTATACACGGAATGACTCAATGCTAAAAGTCTTCAGGTCATATGGTCATGTGGTCATGTGTTGTGTGTGTGGTGCTGCAACGTGTGAGGCTGTATGCGATATGACCAAAGCCTACCAGTCATCGTGCCATGTGCTGGCGTGTGCAATTCAGTGTCGCGTAAGTGTGCATTTGCTTGTGTGCGCAAGCACTGTGCAGCATTGCGTGTGAGTGTGCGTTCACTCGTGTGTGCGAGTGCTGTGCGGCATCGTGTTTGTGTGTTTGCGAGTGCGTTCACTCGTGTGTGCGAGCGCTGTACGACATTGCGCGTGTGCGTGCGAGTGTGCGTACACGACTTGACGCTAGCCTTGCGCTTAGGGCTGCTGCCGCTCGTGGGGAACTCCGTCCCTGATGAGGAGTCGTGGCCGTTCCGCTCCCGCCAGTTCTCCGATTCGCTCCCGCACTCCGACAACGCATCTCCCTGAATAATAAATGCTTTGCGTAAGCCACAGCTCATAGCTGTAGCGCGTTCCCATGATGCAAGCATACAAACAATTCCATAGGTCTATTTGTCCGCACCTCCAATTACTATAATTGGCTATGTAGTGTGCGAAAAAAAGTTCTACATATATATGAACTAGACGGAGTTTCAGCAGGAAAAATGCTTCTTTCTGTACCATTCTCATTAGGAGCCAAAACAGGGTGCCTACCTTATGAAAAAATAGATCCTGACCTTGGAATGGTGTGTGAGAGGGCACGGAGGAATATTATTGAATACAAATAAGATTTCTGGCAATGGTGTAGCAGCACAGACTGAACCCGATTTTATTTTGTCATCATTAGTGAATGTTGCACTATAAGCCAAGGTTTTGAGCAGTGGCCATTATCCAGAGTAGATAAAATAACACGAATGCTTTCTATAAAGCTATAAATGCTAAGAACAATGGTTGTTGCAAAAATTTATTTCATATTTCTATTTTCCCTCGCTCACACAGTGTTTATTAATGATAACTAATAAAGTATTTTCAGAAATCAATGAAGACAACTCAAATTGTTTTATTGCGAGATTGAGAGAGATGGCATCTGCTTGGAGGAGGGAGGAGGGGGGGTGGGGGGGGAGTCGTTCATTTAGCAGTGGCTAGATCAAGTCTAATGATGATGAAGGGAGAGATGGGCACCTCGAAAGTGGTGGGCATGCTCGGCTTGAAGGACCCGTGGTTCGGCCGTCGCAGCTCCTTGATGGTCTCGGCTGGCATGGACTTGGAGAAGCCGAGGCCACTCCACTGGCTCGTGGGTGTCCGCACCTCCGTCACCACCGGCTTCTTCTGCATGGCTGCGTCGCCCGCGTGCCACGGTGAGGATTGCAAACGGGGACAGGGGGGACAATGCGGTGCGTTAGGAATGGCAGAGCGAATTAAGTAATTGCTCGCTCGCTCGCTCACTCCTCCTGCAGCTCTGTTGCCCTTCAAAGTGTACGCAAATCCTGGCGAAAGCTGATGAGATTGCATTGGTAGCGGTAATGAAAAACTCTCCACTTTTGTCATTAACGTTGCTTTGCAACAAAAGGACATTCTACTCCTGAATGCATTTCGCGATACAAGAGAGTTTGGATTTATATAGCATTTAATTGCACATCAAGATGCTGTACAGAAACAATGGGGGTATATTTGTGTTATTTAGACGGACAAGCAGTCGGTCACAGGCAGAGGAGTAGTTCGATGGTAGGGAGTCGACAGTACAGATGGCTAGGTTCGGGGTGTTCCAGAACTACACACTACGTGCTGTACTCGGCAGGTAAAATCAAGCCAAAAAGTGCGGGTAATGAGTTTGGCTGGTGGCTATATAAATCTGACGGAGCTTTCTGTCGATGGAATTTTCCCGTTACTTTAATCGAAACAGTTTCCATGGCCCTCCTCCAGCCTGTGAATCGCAACCAAGATGTCTCCACGCCCAAATGAATGGAGGTGGAACCCGTCCACAATTTACGTGGATTACATATTGCGTCTCTACATGCGACCGCGTCCCAAGACGTCATACATGAATGGCAGTCATTTTTATTTTCCATCATAGGCAGATGGAAAACAAAATAAGCTCTAAACTTGAATTTCAGAGGGGGGGGGGGGCCCGTAAATTCTGAGTTGACTTCTTTAGCTGTAGAGCAAAATAATTACACCGACGCTCAACGGGGAAAATGTAAAAGTATGAATCAACGCTAAAGCAAGGAACAACAGTAAATAATTACAAATATTATGAGAACAGCGCAAACACTAGCTTGTTTCAGAATGTCAAAGGTCAGTCTGACCAAGGCGAAACTTCGCCCAGTACAGCAATACCCCGGTTTTACATCGGGGACGTGTTCCTGAAAGGTGCGACGAATATCTAAACTATGGAAGTCAAAATTTCTTACAAGGTAGCTGGAGGCGAAGGCTGAGAGGCGATGGACATTAGAAAAAATTGAGGATGCTGCCAGTGACGTAAGTGTGGGTTGAGGTGACGTACAATCAGGTAGCGATGTTAAAAAAGTGACGACGCATTTGGGAAATGACGTAAATGGGGAGAGATGTAAATCGGGGTACAACTGTACGTGAGTCCATTGATATTTTACATTCGCAGGATTAGATGAGTAGGCTGAGCATGCCATACTTTAAGCTGTAATTATGTCTCGAAGTGTGTGTCATCAGCAAAACCAGATATAAGAGCCATACTAAAGTTGCAACTGCCGAAATTTTCTTTCCCCGCCTTAAAAATAGCCAGATTTTTGCCACGGATTTACAGTAAAAATTTACCAATGAAAATTGCAAATTGGTGCATGCCAGGTTTTCTGCTTGACACATATCAAAGTTAAACTCAACTGGTGAGTCACTTTGTTCTCAGAATTCTGGTCTTATTTTAGCTGATAATCTCATGCCCCCCTTTCAACTGTCATCATCGAGAATGCTCTCAAGAGGCAAACAGGTTGTCACACAAACGCAGGCCATCAATTTCTTGATGCGATGGTAAAGCTATTCTTGGCCTTTGATTTTAGCGTATTGGTTGCAAGGGAACAATACGTGCGAGCACGAATGTTTTTCGAATGAAATAATTTGCTAAATAATGTTGAACTTTTGAATATGGGCACCACTCCAATTAAATGCCTCACTTCACTGAGCCACGGGAATCGATTTTCGTTCAACTTCTCACGTCAAATTAATCCGGAGATCTCGGCGCACGTGATCCGTTTCAATGAAACATGATGCATCCTTTGAGGGCGCTTTGAAAGCTACAGTTGCAGAGGTAGGCAGATGCACCCGTCACGGCCTGGACGGGAGACGAGCCGGAAAAATGTCACGCGGCAGTACGCATTGTTTCGGAACCGCAACGCCAAACGAGCACCCTGAGCCATCATGGCTACGCGCGAGCGCGGGAAAGGTGACCTCACTTCGGAGGCGGTGGCGGCGCTGACGAATGCGACCGCCACCATTGCGGCATCTAGATTGGAATTTGTGCGTGGGCCGTTAAAAATGGAATCGTGCCGCCGAAAATTCTTCCTGGAGCGGGGACAATGCGGAGGTGATGCCTGTTCGACAACGCGGGGCAAATTTCACGCGCCACGGCCCAGCGGCTTAACCCCCACAATGAGGGTTCTGTAAAGAAGGGGCAGTCGCTCGGGCGGAAAGTTGCATGAAACTTATTTCGGGAGTGAGGTAGTCGTTAGCGTCTGAAAAGGATTATTGTGAAGACATGCGAGTCATCGGAATGCCTGAGGATGGTTTCCTTGCTCAGGGTGGCGACTATGAAAGTGTGGACATAGGTATAAGACACAGACATGCAAGACAATACTGCACATGTGCATTCACTTGCGCATGTGCATTCACTTGCGCACATACACAAAGATCCCCACCTATCGTCTTAACAGACTGTTGGAGCAAGTGCTTTTAGTGAACAACTATGAAGGCCGGCACGGCACACGGCGGGGTGGGAGGAAAGCGCCATGCCTGGCTGCCTTTCTCTCCCCCAATGCTGAGCTTTACACACCGCACCAGGTAATAATTTAAGGCTAAGTCGACCTGAGGCATGCCCAGGACCAGTTCAGATATTCACCACTGTCCGTGGTCATGTGCGGGAATCGAACTAGAGTCGCCGGGTTCGTAACGCAGTGCAATAACCCCTGCACCACACACGCTCGCATGAACACACCGGTATTTATTATCATTTATTTTTCGCTCCACCCTGTGGGCTGCTGATGAACTAAAAATACCAACTGCAACTCAAAACAATTTTCTGCCGAGAAAATAAAGAGATCTCGGTGTTGTCTGGCACATGGCCACGAAACTCGAACCCAAAACAATTATCTGCGTGGGGAATGCCGTTGGTTATGCTTTGATGCCGTGACCCGCTCGCGTCACGGTAGCTGTGCCGGCTGGAGACAGCCGTCGGGCCGGGGTGTGTGGATGACGCAGGAATGAGGGAAGTCGGCGGCGCACCTGGAATGTCTTCACTCCTAATCAGATTGTTCTCTAGTAGACGTCACCCTTTCTTTGGACTTTGTAAAAATGCTTCTTCTTGAAGTTCAGTGTGAAGTGCGGGTAGGCTCGGGGTGTGGGACGGTTGGGGGATCCGTGGGATGGATGGGGAGTCGCTGCATGTGCAGAGAGATGATAATGAGTAAAACGTGTTCAACCGGATTCCATGACCTTAAGACTGTATACTGGCCGCTCAAAACCGGCTTAACGATATCATTCAGTGGACAGGCACCCGAAAATGTAACAATGTGCACCAGCTTCGGATTTTTTTTCGCCAAGCCCGTTTAGCTGCAGTGTGATTGTCTAACTTGACCTTCCAACAACCGACCTATGTTAACCAGCCCCTTGGCTGGGTTTTCTATTGAGAATGCGGTTTCTTTTTGGCTGCCTACAGGCCCCTGGGGTGTCCCAAACGGGTCTGTCATCTCGTTATAACCACTCTTTTTTTATTCGTGTGAACATTAAGCCACTGCACACACTTCATTCACTGAATGGTTGGTAATCGCGAAAACCTTTATCCCGGTAGGAGAGGGGGGGGGGAATCACATGGACAAGAATTGAGAAACGCAGCACCAGGAATCTCTGAGGCCAACTTTTCCGAGTACAGAGCAAAGCGCAGTGATGGATGATCCCTCCACGGACAGTCGCAGTAATGTATTGCAGTGAAGGTATTTACTATCGCTCTAATTCAGAGTGATCTGCGTTGGCCACAGTCTTTGCCAAGCGCAAAGAAGCTCCATCGTACCTTTTGTCGCCATTAGCTTTTTCTGCTCGTAGTCAGCGGCCTGCAAGGTGACGGACAACATGGAGACAGATCAGTATATGTGCTCACGGGTTGGGCAAGCAATTCATTCTTCACCCTTTAACGTGCCCTGCAGCAATTCTTTAAATTGGGCTGTGATTCGATTTTGAGAATCGATCCTCTGTCGTCTCGATTGTTACCATCCATACCACTATTTTGTCTACTTCGTGAGCGTGTGTGTATAATTAGCATCCTTGTTTGCGTATAATTTGCATGAGCTTGTAAATAATGGGCTTGTCACACGCACAATGTGAAACGTCACCATGAGCCTGTAAAGCGATTTAATCGATGAATTCATGCACCGTTACATGCTAGGTGCATGTTGGTATAGCGTATGTAGTTGTGTGTACGTGCTGTATTTAATTTGACTCAACTATGTAAACTATGTATGCATGTACAACCACGGGTTTGCCTAATGTATGGTTGCACACAGACACACCCACCATGTTTATTCACAAGTTTATACAGTATGTGTACATTATATTGCCTTGGCATTGGTGTTGGGAGGCCCTCACCCAGAAATGTATAGATCAGGGCTGATGATAATGATGCCGATGATGATGATATTGACATTGGAGTGGAAACCACTGCACTCAAAACCAAGAAATCAGCGGTCAATTCCCAGCTAACATCAGAAGAGTGATATCTGACCCGGTCCTCACCACCTCTTCTTCATTACCATGCACTGACCAGCATGGCAAACTATGGTCAGACAAACCCTTTTGACCCACACAGCTTCATCCAGCAATATATTAACAAAGAGCTAAAGATTAATATTATTTTTTTAATATAAAATCTTGGATTGCGAGCATAATTCGTTCCGGAAACGTGTTTGTAATCCAAAGCACTCGTATATCAAAGCACTCGTATATGATCACGTGACGCTCGGCAGACAAAGCGTATACGTACTACTCGTATTGCAAGACCTCGCTCGTTTATCAAATTAATATTTATTTAAAAAATTTGCTCGTCTTGCAAAACACTCGCAGACCAAGTCACTCGCAATCCAAGGTTTTACTGTATATTGGTGCACACTTCGATTTATTTAATACATGTTCATTGCATAGATTTTTATTTGAACGACAGAAATAACCCAGCGCTGCAGGAGCAGTTGGGAGGGCTCACGCATTTGAGTAAGCATTACACCTACAGCCAGAGAAGTGCCGAATTTGTGCAATGCCACAACAGGTGCAATGAACATAATTGCTCCCGGAGGTGGTGGTTGCGGCGGTGATAATGGGATGTCGCACCCTGCACGCAACACTGAAACTGTTTTGTTTTAATTGAACTCGTGAGTGTGTGGAAGTGTGTGGAAGTGTGTAGCATTCCACTTGGTACAAACCAATACAATACCTGAACTAACTGAGGATGGGGGGAATGGGGGGGGGGGAGTTAAATGGTCATCTCTGACTTTCCTTTCAAGGGAATGTCAAGGGTCCCGATATTTCCACAAGTCTTTGGAAATTGCTGATTGCTCCCCAGGTAGGAAATTGCACATTTAGTAAGCTCTGTGTACATGGTGCCAATCATGTGCCTCTGAAAGGGTGTGTGGATTGCAATTGCCCAGTATTTGCTTGCACCCATGAATACGCATCCATTTTCTGAGTACACGTAGTACTTACATATGTGCTTGCGCCATTGGGTACCATTGTGTAGTTGTTTTGACTCTTAAAAATCTACCTCTGGTGAACAAGCTGTATTATGGGACAGCGGTGATGCAGTTGTTAGCGCATTTCTGTACGAATCCGGCGACCCAAGTTTGATTCACAACCACGGATAACATCAGTGGCCAGTGATATCTGATCTGGTCCTGTCCCTGACACCCTTCAACCCTGCAATGACCAGCTTCTTAGTGCAGGATGAGCAAACACGGTGTGAGGAGGCCTTCATCTGACAATGGATTGACAAAGGGCTGTTTATGATTTCGACAAGTATAAAATGTGTGAGGATTTTGGGGCGCGATGGTGTGTGGATAAGTTTTATTGACGAAAAGTTGTTTTGCAAGTTGGCATGCTGATGCACTTTCCACCCTTGGCCTCCCCCAGAGATGTAAGCATCCAATGCGTGTAAATGCCAGGTCATGTCGACCTGACTGGGTAAGGTTCCACAATAATAATGATGATACCCTTTATCCAGAAAATCCTCAATGGGCAATTAAGAATGTCTAATGGAAGGTCCTGCATTGTGGTGTTTGGCCAATTCAATTAATGAGTGTTTGGCTTGGTGTGGTCAGAATCTGGAGAACCCGGAGAAAAGCCACCACGTTTATGAGGGGGTGACACTTAGCAAGCACTGTAATCTCCTAGTCACCTCAGAGTACCAAGCCCACAACACCTGGTATTCCCAGGCAGTTACCTATCCAAATGCCACCGTAGGCTCAACATTGGTTAGCAGCTTGCTAAGATCTCACAAGATAGGGCACTTTTACCATGGATCAGTCATGCAGCCTTTGAAAGTTTGACCTCATCCTGGAATAGAACTCGGATTCTTTGGAAGGAGACACAAGAGCATTTATGCCACATGCCCATGACAGCATGGAAGACACACGCTGCCCAGGGAGTGAAATTGTTCGTGGCCACATGAGGTTTCTAAAATTAATCTGAAGTGCTTTTGGTGAAAATGTGCAATTTTCCATTATCACGGTGGGTTTAATTAACTTTTGAATCCTTAATATTATCCGCATGTCATTGGCAATTTCAACGCCGCTTACAATCCTCACGTCCCCCATGAATTGATGTTGACTGTAGCCACCAAGCGCCTAGATTCCAACTTTTATCCTTCGGCATATCACAATCAAAGCAGTGAAGCAGCGATAGACTTACACAAACATCGGACATCATTCCCGAACAAGAGCACGGAGAGCCGTACAGTACAGTACAGCACGACCGCGGAAACCTACGCAGTAACCGACATGGTGACTCGCCTCCACAGCAGAGGAGTAGGGGGAGTGCGGCGCCAGCCTGAAGCCGTCGGCGCATGATCTCTCCGCCGCCCATTCGCTGCCCGGCGCTCTCTTGTCCGTGTGCAGATCCCTGTGATCGCCCTCTGTGCTGGACACTCGCCGCTCTTGAGCCCTGCGTTTGGGGAGCACAGGAAAGAGCCCCCCTAGTGTTGCTGGTGCTGAAGAGATGAGGCTTGATGGCACCTACCTGTGATGTGCATGCACAGCCTATTTCCTTCAGAACTGTCCAGTTTCGTTAGTCGCAGAGAGCATCTTGCTTGGCTAATGCTGTAAGATCTCTCCTTTGTCATGGACAATGTCTTTTATTTATAATCTGGTGAGCACCCATTGAGACCAAAAGTGTGTTTTTAAAGAGGATGTATGGTAAGGCCACGCCACATAATTTCGGGCACTGTGGTTGTTTAACCATACTTTACCATACTGGTCAGTGCGAGTTGTAGGGGGAACCCAGGACCAGTTCAAATATAACTCACGCGCTAATATTAAATGTGGGCAGGAATAGAACTCTGGTCACTGGGTTAATAGCGCCGCGTGATAACTTCTGCATAGCTGCTGCACTCCTGCTTGTATTTAAGTTTCAAGTTTATTTTGTGACCAGGTGAGAACTCAAAGACCAGGATGAGTCTCCTTTGCAAGAGAGACCTGGGTCACCAAAATAACAAAAACATAACAAAGTACGGTAATGTAGCAAACAGCAATCAGCTCAAAAGTTGTAACAGTAACACTGAATCACACGAGGAATTGGGAAATATGTAATATGTAAATTAGTGTTGAATAAAAGCTAAATATTAATTAATGTGTAGTGCAGATTAAGTCGGGCAGATTACTTCCAGGTTGATCATGGAACAAATTACAAAACTAAGCTACAGAGACATTAAACAGAACTAGATTTATGATTTTATGAATGTAACCAAACAAAGATATTTGTCAAAAGGTGTGCTAATGATGGGGGAGTTTATATTATTTTATTAATTTGTGCGTGAACACCACTACCAATGCGCTGTCCCTTCAATTGTATTTAATAACAATACTGGCGAATGGCCTTACTGCATTGTAGTCACTTCCCTGGTTAGAATCCAAGGTTCCAAACTCTTCGGTTCTTTCGGTAAAGTCACGTAGGTATAATATAAAATAAATTAAAAATTAAATCTAGATAGAATCCAAGGTGTTTACGCCATGGCTTAGATTTTACATGCTACTCCATTGCTGTAGGTGACGTAAAAAGCTACCCAACTATGCTGGCTTGATAGTAGGTTTTTCCCCTTTTTTCTGGCAACAAAACAGGTGTCAAGATATTAAAACACCAAACTGAAACCTTTTACAAGGAATCATGTCTGCATTTACCACAATGCTTGTGGTCAGAATTAAAAATATATATACTCTGATAATATATGCATTGTCCTTGAAACTGATTGGTCCACACCAGAGACAGCTTTCTTTTGAGCCTCGTCTCAAATGGTGTTAAACCAGAGGACGCCAAAAGGCAAAAAAAAGCTGTCTCTGGTGTGGACCAATCAGTTTCAAGGACAATGCATATATTATCAGAGTATGTTTTTTTTTGCATTCTGACCACAAGCATTGTGGTTAATGCAGACATGATTCCTTGTAAAAGGTTTCAGTTTGGTGTTTTAACATCTTAACACCTGTTTTGTTGCCAGAAAAAAGGGGAAAAACCTACTATCATATTTTGGTACTGGCAAAGGAGATCCCATGATGAAGAATCAATTATGTTGCATCAGACCGAATCAGCAAGCACAAATCAGATTTGAAATACGGCAGAACGAATTCTTTGGCCGTGGCTGATCATTGTCTCAACACAGCGGGTTCTCATGACATTGTTTTCTCTGATACCAAAGTACTATGCAAACCTCCCGGTTATTACCAAAGATTTGTCCATGAAACCATCCAGATATACAAACAAAGACACAACTTCAACCGAGAGGATGGTTTCAAATTGAGCAACCATTGGAAAGATGTCATAAACCAAGTCAAACTTTAGCTGCCTTATAACTGTACAGCCATTTCTATTGCTTTCAGTGGGTTGTATGTACTTGTGCATATCTTCCCCCGAAACCCCCTGCAGCATAACAAAAGGCGGCTTAACTCAGCCCTCCCCCCCACCCACGTCCCTTTCTGGCTCCTCCCCCCTGCTTAACCTGTATATATAATCCCGGTCGTCTCAAGAGCTCCCCACTTGGTACAGCTATTCTGCTGTGACTGCTCCACCTGAAGAGACGGAAGCTTGTGTTGCCTCCGAAACGTCGTGATTTAATTTAGTTGTTTTATTTAATTTCATCTACGTGACTTTACCGAAAAAACCAAAGAGTATAATTTCACATTTGTTGGCTTCATGCCCGACTCGTGATACGGGCAAAGGTTGGGGCTTGCTGAGTCGCAGGCGGAGTCTGCAGAAGAGTGGGCAGGCCCTATGAGTAGTAGCAGAGTCAATTAATAGAGCCGAAGAGGCTGCTCCCTGTGTGGGCGGGCCTATCAATATAGTGGACATGGCTGTTGAAAAAACATGGTCGGGGCTGACAAAGGGAGAGGCTGCCATCTCACCACGTTTCCTCGTTGAGCCTCCCAGAAACGTAGTAGCTTTGTGTGTGTGTGTGCTGTTCACCCCGACGTACTGCGCATGTGCTTGCATGTGCTGCTGCTGTTGCTGCTGCTGCTGGTGCTGCTGGTGCAGCACACGAGCCCGGGAGAGGCTCTGCTGCAGCTCGTGGCTGCTGGCCGAGTGGGACGGGCTGCGCGGCATCCCCACCTCCACGTACGCCTCCTCCGTCTCTGCGAAGCGTCAAGTCACATGCGCGGCATTCTCGTGAAAAGCAGGGCAGCGTGGCGTAACAGCTCGCGATGTGAACCACGTGCCAGGCTGGGACCTGTGGACCTGGGCCAGTGTATCCCTAGACGTGTAAGAGGCAGACGTAAGTGCTGACGTCATCTGATGGTGTTGCCGTGTTTGTGTTCCCGAAGGCCACCCTGTACTAGGGGTCATTAATGCCCCCTAGTACAGTGCTCGGTGATTGCTGTAATTATCGAGTGAACAGGGCAGCCTACAAGGATCCTAATACTTACACCAAATCAGTGATTAAAAGAAATGGGGAGTGGAGGGAACTAAGTACCCATGCTCCCCTTCATGGTACACATTAGAGTAAATGCAGGCAAAAACATATATGCAGTAAGCATCACTTAACATTGCACATGGACACTTGAGCTTGAATTTCTGTTAACCGAGGGGGATGTAGTGCCCTTCCGTGCCCTCCCATCTTGCTGCTCTCTGCTCCGAGGGTTTGCCCTGGTTTGGAAAGACTGCTTTAACTACTGCACTGAATCTCAAGAAACCATTATCATGTATACCACTTCCACTCTGGGGAATTATCAGCGAAAGAACCCCAAGGGGAAATCTCTGAACGACAAATAGTCCTGGAGTCTCCCTTCAGGAACGCTCGCACACATTTGACCACTTGCACGCCCATGAACTCAACGCCATTCAGTTGTACAGTGGCACGGAGTTACCGTCAAGCAATTGGAATCTCAGCGATGCACTAAGTGGTAGTGACATTTAGCTCGCCAACTTGCTGAGAGGACATTTCTATGTATTTTTTTTTAATGACAGCTCTCCATTTCAGCTTGACAACAATGACGATGAATCAGCCAGGGCTTTGCTTGGAGACCGGGTTAATCATTCAATTTTTTTTACGAGACAGAAGAGTGAGTTGACAACTCTGCTGGATTATCTTCTAATGATTATAACGATGTCACCTATTTATTTAAGAAAGGACCAACGAGAGTCAAGATATTCTTAGTTCTTTTGGTAATGTGAATATGAATTACTGCAGTCACGAAAGCTTTAAATCAAAAGAGAGTCAAGATATTTTTCAAGAAGGTTTCCGCATTGGAATGTTTGGCCAGTTCTATTTGAAGGAGTATTTTGAATGTGGGAGGAAACCAGAATAACCCATAGAAAGTCAATGCATATGAGGGCAAATCACTCAATAGTCCATAGAGAAATCACCCAATAGTCCATACAAACACACTTGCTCTACTGCCGTTTCATGGCCATTTCCCAATCAGGAGGGTTTGAAAGTTCTGAAATGTTTGTGTGATTCACTAAAACCTTGCCTCAAAAACACCACATTACAGGCGAGAGCCACCGATTATGAAAAAAAGAAACAAAGTATTTGGTGATGCTGCTGCATTGGCAGTGGTGCACGAGCACAGATAATAAACTCAACAAATTCGTCAATAAGATGGCAGCCCTGAAAAGAAAAGGCATATATTAGGTGATGTTTCTGGAAATTACCCTTAATCACCACACATTGAGGGGCCACTCTACCTCTCTGGCCCCTCTGCGCTGTGCCTGAAACGTCACATACTATATACTTATATATTTTTTCAAGCCGCAGTATTAATGATGAATATCAGGCTTCAGTTTGTTAATTACGAAAATGAGGCTCCAAAAATACCAATACCGAATCAGTTGGGAATTAAGGGGATTGACAAGCAGCGACATTCTCTGGCTTAATCGGTGCATATTTCCTGGGATTACATCGACCGAAAATATGGACGAAGACAATTTTAACAAGCTGAAAAGAAGCATGAAGGAGCACGCTTGGAATAACACTTGAAAGGCGTGAAAAGGGACGCATGGAAAAAGGGAACACGGGAAAGTTAAAGACATCCTATTGACTGCGAAGAAAACTAAGTGGGCTTGGGCAGGATACTTGTCTCTCGAAGGGCTGATGGCCGATGGTCGAGACTAACAATGGAGTGGCAGCCAAAGGGGATACGTCCTTCGTGGCTCCGTGGCAGTGGAGTGACAAAATCCACTCACGTACAGGAACCAGATGGATTGTTGCACCGTGAGATCATGAGGGATTGGCGACAGCTTTGTGAGACATTTATCCGGCAGTGGATAGATCACGGACGACTGAGATGATGATGAGTGGATAAGCGGAGGGGATTGGAAGCGTAAGGAGCCACCCACCTCGTCGGGTGTTGGATTTGGGAGACAGCTGGCCTCGTGAGCCAGACAGCACGACACACTCCCGCTTCTGACAACCCGCCGCTCTCTCGGACGGCTGCTGCTTGTGAACGCACAGAGAGACGAAAGCCATCGTTGGCCGTGTAGCCTTCAACAGACTGTTGGGGCAAGTGCTGTTAGCGAGCACCACATCGGTCTGGAACGGTGTAAGAGAGGGTGGGGTGGCCGACACCATGACCGGGGTCGCCTTTGTCTTCCCGCCGCTGATGTTTCCACACCGCACCTGGTATGTACTAATTTAAGGCTGAGTTGACCTAGGGAAGTGTAGCACCGGTTTAGATACCACTCCTCACTGATATTAACCGTGGCCAGGAATCTAACCATTGCGCCACATGCACAAACATACACGGACATTAAACAAATGCACACATACACATTTGTTGCATCACAAGAGCAAGGGTCATTGCTACACTAGCGAATTAATATCACAGTTCGCAGTTGAAAATACGAAAAAATAATGAGGATTTTTGTAAGAACAGGATAGATCAATGGTATAATTTGGGTGGATTGGTGGTGCAGCGGTTATTGCACTGCACTAAGTTCGAGGCAACCAGGCAAATCTGAACTCAATTCCTGGCCACGGCTAGCATAAAACAATCAACAGTGAGTGATGATATCTTAACCGGTCATAGCCCCTTCCATCCTTCCAACCCACCCTTGACAAATAAAGATAGATTTGATCAAACAACCCCCATGACCCACACGACCATTGGGGAGGCAACAGATTGACAAAACGCCTGCAAACCACTTTCATTATTTTCATTCATTATGCGCTCGGCAACAGCGTTTGAAAGTGCCGTAACACTTGGGTACCTTGATGTGGCCATTGAGAGAGGTGTTCGGCGTGAGCTTCGTGGGCCCCTGCCCGCCGCCGTCTCCCGTGTCCCCGTGCGATTTCGCGCGAGCCATCCTGCAGTTGGTCACGCCGCCGCTTTCCCCGTGAGCCAGTCCCACGGCTATGGACTGAGACGGCCGAGTGGAGAGACCGAGGCTCGTCGCCGCCCCACCTTGTTCCGCCACTGCCCTGAACGTCCGCGCGCCTCCGACGCCTTGCTGCGTTGAGGGCATGCCCTGCGCCGACGCTGCCCCGGACGGCGAGTTAAAGCCCACGAGTTCGCCGGCGCCACGCGTGGCTGCCGAGCTACTGGCAGCCGCCTGCACGGAAGCCAGCGCTGCCTGGTGGTGGTGGTGGTGGAGGGCGTGCGGCGTCGGGGGGCTCAGGCCCGGAGGCGGAGAGGGCATGCGATGCGACGGTGTCCCGTAGCTGGTCATGCCGCCCCCCAGCAGCATGCCGGTGAGCGCCGCCTGCGTGGCTGGCGACAGCACCACGGGGGGCAGTGCGGGGAACCCTGTGGGTGCAGGGGCGGCAGACGCACGCCGGGATGTAGAGGCACGGAAGGTGGCCACGGAGCAATTTTCCTTGCGCTACATCCTCCACCTTTTTTTTCCCCCCCTCGGTCTCCCTCTAAACACAGGTTTCTTCTTCAAGGGAGACGTGTGCCTAAGGATGTGGCCAATTGAGACACGAAGACACATTCTGCTTCTCACAATTCAAATTCTGGTCGTTTGGGAACATTTTAAAAATGTATTTCTTATCAGGCCCCATGGTGCAAACAAGTGCAGTCTCCAACTCTTATTATCCACTCTATCTCTCTGGCCACTCTTATTTATGTGTTGTGGTGAAGAGGGGGCCATTGCCAGATACGTGGCCTGATAAGATCACAATGTTATTGATTAAGGTGAGTTTTTGTTGTTATTTGTGCTCATACACGACTGCCAACGAAGCAGCAGCATCACCAAATAATTTGCTTAATATTTTCTGACTTTGTTCAGTGTGGGTGAGACTTATGGGGAGCGGTAGTGTTGCAGTTAGCGCGCTGCGCTACAAACCCGGCGGCCCGAGTTCAATTCTCGCTCACGGCCAACTTCGGTGAAAAATATCTGAACTGGTTCTGGGCCTCGCCTAGGTCGACTCAGCCTCAAATGAGTGCCTGGTGCAGTGTGTTAACATTGCCACTAGGGAGACAAATGCGGCCAGGCGTGATTCTGGACACCCACCCCCTCAGGTGCCGTATCAGCCTTCATAGATGTTCTGTAACAGCAATTGCCTCAACAGTCTGTTAAGGCTATATGGGGGATCTTTGTCTTTGAATCAAAATATTTATTTATATATGAGGAATCTGATAACCTATAAAGCTCTTTTTTTACTGGCGAGATAATGATTCAGCCTCTCCACAATTATGAGAATAGTTTTTTCCCCTTTTTTATGGCAACAAAAAGGTGTTAAGTTGTTAAAACACCAAACTGAAACCTCTTACAAGGAATCATGTCTGCATTAACCACAATACTTGTAGTCAGAATGCAAACAAAAAACATACTCTGGTCGCCTTTTGGCGTCCTCTGTTTGAGACGAGGCTCAAAAGAAAGCTGTCTCTGGTGTGGACCAATCAGTTTCAAGGACAATGCATATATATTATCAGAGTATGTTTTTTTGTTTGCATTCTGACCACAAGCATTGTGGTCGAATGCAGAAATTATTCCTTGTAAAAGGTTTCAGTTTGGTGTTTTTACATCTTAACACCTGATTTGTTGCCAGAAAAAAAAGGGAAAAACCTATTATCATATCTTGGTATTAGCAAAGGAGGTCCCATGATGAAGAATCAATTATGTTGCATCTCAATTGTAATGTCTCATTCTTGCCATCTGTCGCGTACATTCTGTCTCATTTGTTCCATTAGCTTAAAACTGACATGCACAATTTGCATACATTACTCTGAAATCAGCTGGTGTTCAGGCGCTCGGTGGATTACGACATCACAGGATCATGAGAGATGGTGACACCTTGGGAATACCGTCTTCCAGGAGCACATTGTTCACGGCTGATTATATGATTTAATTGGAAATAATCGATCTGTACATGCGCGAGTAGATGTATGATCGGTGAATCGTTATACGCTTACAAATTCCTCTAAATATGCACGCATAGTAGCCTACACTGACGTGTACACACGCGGGTGTGTTGGCATCCATCTGTTGCAGTACCTGGGGGTGACACGGTCCACATGGGGGTGCTCTGCGGGGGGCCGGACCCCTGGGTCCCCACTGGGCTCAGCTGGGCATTGAGAATGTTCAGCAGGGCGCTGTTGGTGGCCACACTCAGGGCCCCAGGGCTCAGCATGGCTGCATCAGAACAGAAGCGATCCGAGCTGAATGATTTTTAAATGCGTTCCACACAGTGCCACAGAGTGCACAGCGCCAATGCGAGAGATGGCAACCAATTTTCACCCTTTCACCGCGAGCGTTGGTGATTTCGTATCTGAAATTGCCGCGATGAACCCATTAGAAATGTGTTGTGTTTCCCCCTCCCGCTCTTCCCTCCTCTTCCCCTTCCCAGCAAATATGGTACTCCCGATCGTTGTCCATATGGTAGGAGGGCAGTGAGCCCAAGGGCCTCCAGTCAGTCCCTATTCCAGAGTCGTCTGGCTCCGGGTCTGTTACGTGCTCATGACATGTGTTCCCCTCTCTGCTGTTTGTGTTGTGTTCTGGGTTCTTGAATAATAAAATAAAAATAGAAATGTGTTGTGTTATACTCAAGACTTAATATACCCACTTTGACACGATTCCAACGTTGCTGAAAGGGGAAACACGTTATTTCAAGTGAACACATTTTAAGCATGAGAAATGTTCTTCAATTTCAAAGGAGTTATTGCTATAAGGACAAAATAAAATATCTTGCAGCATAAGTAGAGATGTTAATACAACCTTCGCAAATAACATTTTAAAAACACGATGCGAAAAAATGAGCACGTGGGATGATGTGGGAGATATGCTAAGGGGGCTGTTACGTCCTCAACGATGGACGGCTCGGCATTCCAGAGAGCCCACTGGCTGCGGAAGCATCAAGCTCTCTGTACTTACAGGCAGCTTCGGCACAGCTCTTGAGAACAGGAGGCTGCTGTGTGCAGGCGGCCGTGGTGCTTGCGCATAGCCAGCTCTCTGGGAGACACGCAGATGGGACAAGGATGGGGTAAGGGGTTAACGCTGGTAAACGTGCCCCTCAAGAATGAGGTTAGCAGTTTGCCTGTATGCATGTATATATGTTGAACATCTTTCGCACCGTACGTAGCCAACCATACTAATTGGAGGTGCTACTTATGGAGGTTTCCACAATTGTGCTGTTTTTGCCCTCTGATGTGTTTTGGCAAAATTCATAACATCAGCTGGCCTACATCAAACGGCAGCAGCAACTGGTAACTTTACATAATCGAGGGGAGAACGTGAGATGCTCCATTCAGTTTACAAAGAAGCTCTCGGCGCGTGCAGTGAAACGTCAGACCTTTATAGTTCGCCTGCTTTCAAAATCATATATCAGTGTCTTTTTCTTAAAATGAGCAATCGCGTGGCACAAATTCCATTGGTGACCCTGAGCCGGTGGTGGAAAATCCCCACTCTCCATTTGTGGGTACCAGTCTTTCTAGGAAGTAGCAACAGCTGACGGCCAACAATGCAATACGTGTTTCATTGGCATAAAATGGACGATAGGCTGCGTTGATCCCCGAAGTAGGATTTTAACTCCGATCCTTGTTATTGCAAGCCAAGTGAACTGACCACGGAAACAGCTAGCCTGCTTTACGTACATTAATCAATTACCAATTCACTTTCCCTCATTATCTGAGATAAATAACCACCGCTGTCATTAATCATGTATTGAGGCTGTATCATTAATTTGAGACCAAGAATCAACATGTTCCAAAGATGAATCGATGATGGGTTTTATGGTGAACTATTAATTTACACTTAGCAAGCAATATCACTGAGCTATTGAATGGCACGGCTTATGTGTTATGCTTAATTAGTGTTGGCACGTCTTCAAATAATGATCTAGCAGATTTAAGTTGTGTACTTTATAACACCATCAGCAAATCAGCCATGCATGTCTGAGTTTTTCATACTGCATTCATTTCGGCTACAACAGTGGTATTTCATGCGAGTCAATAAAGGCCAAGATATGCCAACTTAGGGTAGGAACATGTCTGCACATTAAAAATATGGCTGAATAATTGCACATTTAGGTATAAACAATGTGTTTTTTTTTATCTAGATCAAATGTAAAACAGCTGTACCCATGTGTGTGTGTGGTGGGACTGGTAGTTTAGTGGTTAGCACACTGCATGACACACCCCGCTCACAACCAACAACAATGACGAATATTTGAGTCCTGGACCTCCCCAAGGTTGACCCAGCCTTAAATGAGTACCTAGGTGTGGTGCTTACACATGAGTACTGGGGAAACAAGCGGAGCTGAGAGTGGTGCTTGCCACTCACTCCCTCGCGTGTCGTGCCGGCCATCATAGGTGCTACTCGCTAACAGCACTTGCCCCAACAGAGTCTGTTAAAGGCTATACGATGAATCTTTGTTCAGCTGGGTTTCCACCTCTGAGGTAGAAAGAAAAAAAACTAGGACAAATTGTGGGAAGTATAATATCTCACAATACTGAAAGAGGGGAGAACTACAAATGTATTGTTTTGATTGGTGTATTATTATTATTAACTTATAAATAACGGGACTCTTTAATGGTCAGGCGAGACTTACAGATTCCCTCAGACAGCTACCTCAAAAAGAGGACTATCCTGGGAAAACCAGGTGCCAACCGTATCGTGTGAAGGTTACGATACTAGAGGTCAGAACTATTCTTTATGCTTCTTTCCTAATACTGCTTAACTTTGGAATTACCTTCCATCGCTTCTTCTATCAATTAAAAAAAACACAATAATTGCCATCTATTACAATTTGAAGTGCCCTTTTTGACTGGCTGCTTGATGTTTTGGACCTCTGGGCCTGTGCTCAGCAACGGTAATAATAAAACAATATTAATACATATTAGCATTGACCTACCAATCGTGGACAGCCCCAGTCCAGCTGAGGCGAGGATGTCCAGGCCTGAGGCCTGCAGTGGGTATGTTGCATTCGTTGCCAGGGTGACCGGGCAGCTCATCTTGGGGTTGAGAAGGCCATTGGCCGGGACGGGGATGCCATTGTTCTCCAGGCCTAGCAGCAGACGGCGAGCCTCGTAGACGTTGCCCGCATTCCGCTCCATGCTCTTCACAATCACCGACTGAGGCCACACACCGCACATTTATTTTTAATGCTCCCCAATTCGGGTTTAAAGGGTTTTTGTCATAGCCCTGTCCATCTGTCCATCTGTAACCCAGGGGGGGGCACTATAACTATCTCCAGAAAAAAATATGTGATATGAGTCAACTTGTAGCATAAAGTTCTGCTGCCATTTGAAACTTATCCTCATAAGAACCGGCCAAATTGATCAAATGGCTGCCCAGATATCTCGAGACAGAAACCTGAGCAAAATGAAAATTTTCAAATATGCAATACTCAGCCATTTTACCATGAACACCTAACACAGCTATTCCTCTTTGCAAAAATCAGCCATTGCCGAAAGCGCCGGGCCACTGTATTTATTCTCCGTTGTAAGGCAGTGTTAATGGCGAAGCAGATGAGGTGCGTTTTTGTACCGCGCTTGCGCAACGCTGCTCGCGCTGTCAAGCGTTCGTGCCGATGCTGTGCGCCATGTGATACTCGCCTTGCTCGGTTGCTTGGGCTTGGGTTTGATGCTGATGAAGACGTCAAGGTGCTCCATCAGCTGCGCCATGTTGTGCGATGAGATCTCCGCGTCCTCCTTCATGTCGAACATGAGCACCAGCGGCAGGCAGCCCTGCGCCGCCGCGACAACAGAGGAGGGCACAGCCGGGACTTAATTTCTCACCGAATACTTTCTGGGTCACTTGTAGACTAGAATTGGCAGCACGTGACTAACAGCCACAGCCATGGCGAGAGTTACACTGGGTGTGCTTTGCCCGTATGTTCTTGGTTGCCAACCCGGATAGACGCAGCAGATGTTAAGCCCTGGACACAGCCACATTATTTCCTTAACTCGCTCTCTCATTTGTTTGGTTGTTCGTTCCTCTGTCTGCTATTTTCTGAGCATCTTTATTGCCTTTTGAGAGAACTCGACAGAGACGGTGAGATGTTACATATCTATGAAAGGGATTCTAGATGCCGCAGGTGAAGGGTGAAATGATGCTTCAGCATTATAGGATATTTATAAATTTGCCAACATTAACCACTGGGGCACGAGATAGTCTTCACTTGCATGTGCTGCATTGTCTTTAATGTCGTTTTTGAGTGGATGATGTACTTTGGTAAATGCCTACAGCATGTGGCTGTGAAAATGGAATCTTTGAGCCCATGCTGCCTGGCTGAGTGACGTCCATGGCAATGAATGTGCGTTTCTGCTTTTTATGTACTCGCCAGAATTAAAGTGTGCATTTATCCAGGGATTATGGAGTCTCTGATGGAATACACCACTGTGGTAGAACGCTCTTGATCATGACCTAGGTGATAGCACGGGGCTACGTGGCACACTGTTATAGATTCAAGATAGATTAAACAGGACCTTATCTGCAGGCACACAAAAAACATTCACTTCTTCTAACACCCGCATCAATTTTTTTGTTCACAGCATTTTCATTTGATATCGGAGGTGACGTTTTTGTCCCTACAGAATCATTGCATGTGATGTCCCTTTGATTGGATTATTAAGGCCAACCAAGTACCAACACACATTTCTTGCACACCCTATCTGCTGCCTTTTTCTCTCTCAGTAATCCGAGTTCCTTTTAATGGTTTCGACTCGTGTTATTTTTTTAAACAAGCTTGAGAGCATTGTAAATGCATATGGTGGTCACGTGACATGCATGTGAGGCACGATGCGAGTTTGTACCTTCCTACCAATTGTGAGTGCACCTTGGTGTTTGTTTTAATTTTCTTTCTCGGTTTGTGGGAGCAATTTTTCAAGTGGCAGTCACAGTAGAGAGCAAGGGGTTAACTCTGGCTCATGGCCAGTGGACCAAGCCAATCGAATATATTCCCAAAATGGTCGTCGTTATTGCCCTGTTCGCCCGTGAGCCCAAGGTTCACGATGTAATTTTGTGAAGATAAATATTGCATTTGATGCCTACCAGGCCATGAAATGGCCCATGGACTTGACCAGAGCTCTCAATTTTTATTTTTTCAAAAATAACATCCCGAGGCAGAAACTATTTAATATCTCATCAGGGAATTATGCATTTTGTGATGTTGCCGCACTATGCTATCAGTGGCTGCGATACATTTTATCCACATTTACGAGAGCTTTTCCCATTTGCCTGATTACCGGAAGACAGATATTCCAGGCTAATTACTTGACTAATTGGTCTTCTTTGAGTTAAAATACGGTACAGTCATTCCTCATTGTATAGAATTTCAATATACGTAATTTCGTGAAAATCTAACTTATAAATTCGGGAAGGAATTAGATATATGTTATGTTAAATTTGCATTTACAGAATTTTGAAACTCTAAATGATAAAAAAAAAAATTGGAGAGAAAATCGAACAATTTAGAAAATGTTTTCTGCATTCTAATTGTGATATTATTACATCTTGGGGTTTCCGTAGGAATGCATCTCCAATTATATAAAACAGAAGTCAATTGAAAAATAGGGTTTGATATACAGAATCCCACTTTATGGACTGTTTTTCAGGAATGCTTCTGTTCCGGATATTGAGGGTTGCCTGTATATCTAAATCAATATGCCAGTGGCTTCCCACCTCAGTACCTAAAGGCCAGTGGCTGATTGCATATCGGGGTGGTTGCCCTTGATTGTTTTAATTGATAAACAATGGTAAATCACACTTCAAGGAGAGTTATGCAACCAGCCACAGGACTTATGCATCAGTTTTATTCAGCTGGTTTACTTTGACATAAACCAGTGGGAAGATGAGAGCTGCCTGCAAGACAAACTGATGGCTCAACTTACCACTGTGAAATTCAGTCTGTGAGTGGAATTTAGTTCAGCTCTCTGATGTGAAGCTTCTTCAGAACCTGAATTCATCCGTGCAGCACGACTCACAAAAAAACTATGGAGTGGAACTGATATTCTTTGTGTGGCAGAGTATGGAATGTATCGTTATGAGATGTTCCTCAAAATGTAATGGACGTGTGTTGATGCTGATGAGTTTCGTAAACAATTATAATGGCAGCTACACCAACACATTCAGACGAGGAACATTTTTTGCTGTGAGAAATTACCAAGTACATCCATGGATATAAATTCAGATCTCACCATTGTTGGTGAACATCTCCTTGGAGAAGAGAAGAAGTGGCATTGATTTTGTTGGGATTTTGGATGACAGCCACCTGCACACATGGCACTTGCTGCTGTAGCAGTGCCTGTCATTGCTGAACAACAAGCCTAGGTGTCTTGAGGAGGGCATGCCTTTGCAGAACAGAATGAACCGCCCTCTTAAGAGGGAGGCAGATGACATAGCGCCATGGAGAAAAGGAATAAGACAGGTAAATTCACCAACCTGCCACAGCTGGAAATTTCAGCCAATTGCCTCTATTTGAAGATATGTATATATAGTAGTGTTGGTTATAAATCAGCTGTCAATTAATCATGGGCGATGATGACGATGGCGAATATGTTGGGGGTTTTTTTGTGGAAGTAGATTAGGTTTTGGGCAATGGTCCTTCTGCCGTAGGAAGATTTGGATACTACTTATCATGTAGATATATTCTTTGTCTGGCAGTATTATTGAAAAAAATTAAAGATTGTATTTTTGCACACTTCATTTTAATAGCATCTTGTGTTATGGTCGCATTTAGATGCTATATAACTACAAATGGTATAAGTGCATTTTGTTGTAATTAAGCCTCTTCCTACATCATTGTTTGTTTATCAGGCAGGTAACAATTCATACTTCCACCCCCCCTCGGGTGAGTTGATTGCCATGTTTGTATTTAAGAAATTATTTTATGCACTAGTCAAATTCTTCTGTACTAGTTTTCTGAAAAATCCTGTCCACCCATATTCATATTCCCACCCCTATTCAAATACCATCTGGAATTCTATCCCCCATCACATACACAGCATTGAGTCAGCTTCCACCTTCAAAAAATAACTAAGATGCACGTGTTCCCGTGAGCATTCTAAATGAAGCTGAGTTGGTCTCCTCGCCTCCAAGTTACGCTCAAACTTTGAATCCATTTGAGAAGCTGTGCGTGTTACAGGTTTCATAATGTTATTATTAAACGTAGATTGAGCAGTGTGTGCTTTTTATATTGTTTCTGATGTCATTCCTCCTTTCTCTCTACTGGGAGAAGTGCTGTGAATGACAGCCCAGGACCTCTGGTTTTTGACACTAAGCGAGATGGCACAAAGTCACCCTGAATTTGTTCCAGAGTGCACATCTATCATTGATTTTTAACTTGAGAGGCAACTAATCTCTTTTATTGAAGATACAAACTAGTGTAAGCTGTGTACCATGGGCTTTCCAACATAACTTTAAAGCTTCATTAAGTGGTATAATTGCAGTAATGCTGCATGTAAACAAAAACCCAGGACTGATGCAACAGCAACATCCCTGGATTGCACCAGACCGTGATTTGATTGAAAGTATTTTACTAAAGAAGCTCCAAATTTGTGTCAATCAGCCCGGGATGAAAACATTACAATTCAGAACTTTACTTGGGATTCAGAGAGTGCTGACAATGTGACAACATGTCAACACACAGAGCCTAGGCATGTATCTACAAGATAAGAGATGTTAGTTTTCCTGGTTACCATCATCATCATTATTAACATCTTCATATTCTTGGTTCTTTCGGCAAAGTCACGTAGATATAAAATAAAAATAAAATATCAAAATTAATTGAATATAATAAAAGCAAAACACCCACGCTTTTATTATTTTCAATTTCTTTTTGATTTAAATTTGTATTTTTATTTTCTAGCAACTTGACTTTACCGAAAAAACCAAGAATATGAATTCCTGCAGTCACGAAAGTTTCAAGTCCAAATCAACATCTTCATTCATGGTTCATGCACCATTACCATCTCTTCACAGTTTTGCGATGCAACAATTCACGTAGCTCCTGCACTCGAGACGATCTCCTTGGTAGTCACGCTCTCACTGCACGTTTCCTACTTTGGCTGCTACTCCGTCATGAGCCTCGATCACCAACCATCATCCCTTATCGCAAGGCGGCCTTCCCAAGCCCACTTACGTTCCTTAATTGTCAATATCGTGTCTTTACAATTAAGTATGTTCTCTAATCCATGTGTTCCTCTCTCTATATATATATCTTAGTGTCATTCCAAGCATGCACCTCATGTTGGTTGTTTTCGCACTCTTCAACGTTTGTTCCATTGTCATCGTCAGTGTCCGTGTGTCCGATCCATGTCACAGCAGGTGCATTCATTGAAAACTCTCCTCCATTATTCGCACCCATCCCATTGCTTTCGTTCTCAAATTAAATTCTCCAAAAGCACTCACACGTTCTCTCCTTGCCTCTTTAAAATTGACAATCCACAGTTCCAAAGCAGGTCATATTACACTGATTTAAAAAACTTTGGTGTGTGTTACTGGACCATATCTTCCTTTAAATGTGACGGCGTTGGACTCGCGATGGGATGCTCTGTTGGGCCAACGATGGAGGATGCGTTGCGGTGGCGCGGTGTGTATGTATGCTGAACTTCTTTCTCACCGTACGTAGCCAACCATGCTAATCGGGGGTGTATAAATGCCCCAGCTGCTGGTGCACACTCACCAGCAGGCAGGTTCGGGCCAGGCACACGGCCTCCATGTTGCCGTGGATGTGTATGGCCTTGTGCGGGCCACCGGGCTCCGGGAACTGGATCTGCGCACCGGTCCGGTGCACGATGCGCTTGACGTTGAGGCCATTACGTCCCATCATGAACTGGTGGTGCTGCGGGGCGACGTCCAGCTGAGAGCTCACAGGAAAGGTGGCTCCAGGGCTGCCAGTGAGGTGCTCGATGAGCATCGCCACGCCCTCCTGCGGCATTAAAACAACCCATCGTCATCCTCAGCAGCACAGCAGCATGAGAAACATGCTGCTGAGAAACAGTAGCTGCAAAAAGGTAGAAATAACAGCTTCATCAACATCATTATTATTATTATTAGCAGCAGCATGACCATCATTATACACATTTGCCGAAACAAAATTAAATGCCTTCTGGGTCTCCGGTGCAGTTGCACTGCCTGCACACTGTATAGCTACGCGACCGCTAATGCACACATGTTGCATGGGAAGCATCGTGCGTGCTGATGCACTGAGCCTGTGTTTATTGTGCAGCAGGAGCAAAGCGACAGCCGACGCGGGTACCTGCCAGCGGACAACACGGATACTGGCCTGAGAAGGCATACGGATCAAGAGGCTAATAATTATTTGGCAATCAATATCAAGGTTGAATATCAAACACTGGGCCGCTCGCTCGCCAGCCCTTGGGCCCCTGTGCAGTTGCACCTCCTGCACACTCAATGGCCACACCACTGTGGTCAGCGGCCGTACCTTGGTGGTGCTGACGTTGGACCCGCGCGCCACGCACACGGTGCCGTAGAGGCGTGCGCGCTGCTTGAAGGCCACGTTGAGGCCGTGGCGCTGCGCGATGTGAGCGATGGCTGGAGAGCTGGCCTCCGACACGGGCTGCAGGAACCCTGTCATAGGCACCTCGAACATCAGCGCCAGTGGCAGCAGCTCCTGTGGATGAGTTGTATTTCGAAAAGGTAAAGGGGCAGCCCTGCAGTCGCCTGCTCGTGCCACTGCTGGTCGAATGGCCTCCGCAAGAAAGAGCTCTGGAGAGCTCCTCGAGAGGGTATTTTGGCCTACTCTTCCATGCTGGACCGACTTCTTGGAAGAGATGGGGGCAACCCACACTTTGCCATGCGACCTGCTGATCGTCTTACTGCGGCGAATCCACTTATACTGCTGGACGGATGGAGGTTGGGGGGATTTAATAAACCTGCAGAATTGTTTCAACTGCCATGCCAGGAAGATGCTGCTGTGGTGTAATGGTGAGCACACTGGACTTACAATTTAGAGGTTGCCAGGTCGAGTTTAATGTGGCAGGCATCGATTATGAATACGATATTGTGAAAGGTATGAGCAGGTAGCTCGGCGGGATTATAACGGCCATGTCAGGACAGTTTATGTTTTTTCCTTTTCCAAATTTCCATCTATGTTGTAAAGGTGTCTTAGTACGAGAAATAGGCACTTCCGATGAATCTTAAAAAATAATTATAAAAGTATACCTCGCTGCGTCTCAAGACTGTCTTTGGAGGGTCCTGCTTTTGGATATTTGTCAATTCAATCAATGAACGTTTTTCATGTGCAAGAAAACCAGAGTACCTGGAGAAAGTCCACATACAAGTGAGGATTAACACGGGCTGCACACAGATGGAGTTCATCATCTACTTGCTGTACTTGTATCTTCTGTCTACCTTTACCAACTAGCACCACCGAGATCCTGGCTTTGCATCCAACTTTGAGATAGATAATTCTATAAGAAGTCCCAGCTGAGTCAGAATTTGACTCCACGAAAGACAAAGCAGTCTACGATAAAAATGCTTTTTTTGTTTCCACTTAATTTAGCATGCTCCAGCTACAAGTACCAAAATGCCTGCAATGGTGGGGGGGGGGGGGGTTGTGAAGTGCTAGAAGGACACAATGGAATGACTGAAAGCAGTTGAGTCGTATCATCTTTCAGGGTGGATCCCTGACATGGAGAGTCAATGCGACGGGAGGTTGATATTAATGTCTATGCGGCTTATGACACCACTCTTTACACCATCACGTGAACTCTGGTCATCCTCGCAGCGGCTTTTTGATAACCATCGAAAAAAGACGGTCACTGCATCGCGAGCTTTCGGATGCGCTTCTGTGGCCGTCTGGAATGCTCTTCCTTCCGATATTAGGAAGCCACTGGCGCTATGCATTTTAAAATTTAGATTGAAAACTCATTTCTTTAGAACTGATTTTTGTGTTTAGTTTGTTGTTCTTCCCCCGCACCTCTGATAAGCATGGTTGGCCATGTATGGTGCGAAAGAAGCTCAACATACATACATACACTCTCAATACCCCCAATTGCGATATAGTTATAATATGGGGTCGAGTGCTGGCACAGTAGTTAGCGCACAACGCTACGAACACTTTCATCTGATTTTGATTCCTGGCGACGGTTATCATCGGTGGCGAGTCATACCTGAACCATAAAGTATTAAACTGAACCAGTTATGCTCGTCTCTCCCCATTCACCATCCTGTACTGACCAGCATGGTGAAGTATGGTCAAAACAACCCCCCATGGGCAACACATTGTATGGAGGCCTTCGTCCAGCAGTGGATTGACAAAGCACCATACATTAATTTCATGTTTTAATAATACTTCAATGTGTCAGTCATGGGGGACGTTGTTTGACTATATATCACCATGCTGGTCAGTGCGGGTTGTTGATAATGTAGAGAAGGGATGTACGCAGTAAGCGTAGTAGGATGCATTTGGGGTCAAACAGGTGCGCGCGTTGGGGCACGGAGTAGACGCCGCGGAGGCGGCAGCAGTTAAGGAGAGAAGCGCAGTTGAGAGGGTGCAATTGGGGACGAACAGGTGTGAGCGTTGGGGCACGTAAGGACTCGAAATGAGGAGGGGTATATAAGCAGGAGTGTGCGTGAGTAAAGGGAGGTGTTCGGGGACCAAGAGAGGAGACGTCTCGCCGCTGCCGCTCAGGCCGTCAACGGGACCTCGCCCCTCGCGCCGTCGCCGGGCGGGTGTTGGTTGAACCCCCCCGCCCGGGACAGACGGGTGAATGGGTACGGCACAGCGTGGGTGAGAGCAGTGGGCAGTCGCGAGATAGGAGAGAGTAGGTGCGGTGCGGGGTAGATGAGAGCGGGTAGGAGGAGGAAGCGGCGTTGTGTGATGACAGTGAGAGGCAGTCATAGGTGTGCCTACAATTGGTGTGAGAGTAGGATAAATACAGTGTAAGCAGGTGACCTGTCACTCCGTGTAAGTGTGAGTCATTATATACACTACAATAATATATAGCAGGTTAGTGAATAATAAAAATTTAGCTCAATTCGTGCATGTCTGCAAGTGATGTGTCATTGCGTGGTGTTATGGCCAAGGTGATGGCCTCACCCGGATAAAGGCGCGCGCCTCCTCCACTCCTCCAGGCAACCCCGCAATGGAAACCTGCCAGCCACACCAAAGACAAAAATCCCACATACAACCTTAACAGACTGTGGTAGCGAGTGCTGTTAGCAAGCACTTATGAAAGCCAGCACATCACACAAGGGGAGGCCCAGGACCGGTTCAGATATTCGTCAATGGTGTTGGGCATGAGAGGGAATCGAACTCAGGTCACTAGGTTCATAGTGCAGCGTGCTAACCGCTGCATTACTGCTCCCACACCACACGCGCACACACTCGCACATATACACACACATGTTCCAACACGTTAGATGAGTCCAGTTCGTTGGTGTTCACTCTTCCATGCTGGTCATCTGTTTTACACATCCCTGAGTGATTCGCTCGGGAAATATACGGGACATTTTTGCTGGGAAATCGCTGGCAGCACCAGCTTGTGTGTGCGTGTCTTATCTCCAGCGCACCAGGCACATGGCTGCGATGAGCGTACGGCCGGGCTTTCATGTGCTGTCCATCAGTGTCTGGCAAAATAAATGTGAGTTGATGCAGCCTCAAATAAAGACAGTATCTGCTGAACATGCAGGACCGGAGTTTTTTTGAGGATGGTCTCTGACTTAAAATGCTTGCGTAAATATGTTGCTGGTGTTCGTGTTATTGTGACAGGATGAGGAATGTTTTTCTTTTAATATGAAATATAAAAGGGGTGTAAGTGCCATAATCTCTGCACAGATTCTTTAAACGCAAGTTGATATGGGAATGGAATGTATCATCTTCACATACATTTTTCAGAATGCCTCATCTGAGCATTGTTCACTGCTCATGAAAAATATGCGTAAGAACAACGATGACACGTTTTATGATTGGCACGTAAATATGTTCGTCAAACCAGAAATGAAAACACATCAATCCCAGGTCTACCATTTATATCACACGATGTGTTGAAATCCATTTTACTGCACGTGCAAACAAACTTGGGCGCAATAAAGAACGGCACAATAAAATGCTGCGACACATCTCTGCTCGAGTGAAGAGGGCACACATGCGCTCACACTTGCATCGCGTGTATTTGTGCGGGTGTCTGTGCCCGCACGTGGGGAGCGTTGGCGTAGTGGTGAGTACGCACTGCTATCAATTAGGAGACCCAAGTTGAATTCTCGGCCACGGATAAGAGCATGATTAGTGATATCAGAACTGTTCCTGGGCCTCCACTAGTTCAACTCTGCTTTAAATGAGTACCTGATACATTGTGTAAACATCAGCACTAGGGATACAAAGGTTCGGACACACCGCCCCTTCGTAGGCCGTGCTAGCCTTAATAGGTGCTCGCAAATATTACTTACCCCAGTAGTCTGTTAAAGGCTATACGGATGATGTTTTATTTTTCCTTTGTGTGTGCATGCGTGCGTGTCTGTGTGTGTGCGTAATCTGTGTTGGGAGCACGCTGTGACATAACGTAAGAGCGGGCAGTGCTCTCGTGGCGCGCTGAAAGCGTTGCTGGCACAAGTGTTGCTATGGGCTGTGCTGGCTGGCGGCCGGGCTCCTGGCTTAGGGCGCTATTAAAAGGCCGCCCATTCACACAGGTATAATGGTATTCGTCGCACCCATAAAAGTGCAATGAGTTTGCCCGCGCGGCTCGCCTGTGGCTTAACTCCGCCTGGGAACTCGGACGCTGGGACGGCTTCTCGAGAGCCGCAAAGCATCGTTGTGAAGCCCATGCTAGCATGTGTTTGCCGTGCCGTAATTCACCTCCGTGCTCTCTGTGAAAGGAGGCTCTCCGATTGCTAATGCGGCCGGGCTGCGTAGAGACGATTTGAAGACGAGGCCCCAGTACTTTTTACAGTTTCATTTATTTGGCTTTAAGCATAGGCTGGCTGGTTTTTTAACCAATTAGAATGGTTTTTTTTTATTAATTAACCCACCTGCCCTTTCTCAAAGCATCTGGTCAGCTTGGAAGGGTAAGTTAAAATAGCCTGTAGAGTGGTACAGGATACCTCTTCCACCAGTAGCACCACGATCAAGCAGATCCAGAGCTGCCCCTCGACCGTTTACCCATTACCGCCGGGGGGTGGGAAAGCTTTGGCTCACGGGTCGGACGTGGCACGTGACTTGTTTTCATCTAGCCCACGGCAACGTGAGGCCTACACCACTTTGAAATGTGCCGCAAACAAAATGTATTGCAAGTACACTGGTTACACTAATCGGTTACTAGAGTAGAATATTTTCTACCTGGCATCTCAAGTCTGCAGAGGTGAGCCCTGATTATTATTTGCCTCATTACTGGGTAACACTAAGGTGTGCATTAATATGTGGCTCGCCACAGGCATTTGAAAGTCCTAATCAGTCCTGGTAAGGTCACTTCCCAACCCCTAAGTCTTCCTAGTGTTTATGCCGCTCGCTTATACTTAAAAACACTACGTATACCAGCGCAAGGGCATCTTTCAAGAACATTCCCTTTAAAATAAAATGACTTGGAAACACACCAAACGCTGTGCTGCAGCCTTGAGAATGGATAATCTCTTTGGAAGGAGGGTGCCCAGTTGTTCAGAACATCAGCGAATACTCATCGTCCGCTACCCAAGACACTGCCAGACATTTGTAGTAAATTAAAACATTTTGAAAAATGTAAATGTCTTAGAACCTTTTTGTCCCGTGCCATTTGGAGCCCTGCCCCTCCGGGCCATGTCCTCTCCTCCCCACCCCACTCTCGTGCACCTGGTTCAGACCCCTAGCATTGGGGTGGGGGGCTGTAGGGGATTGTATAGGGCTGTAGGGGGCTGTAGGTGGTTGTAGGGGGCTGTAGGGAGCTGAGCCACCCCCACCTGCTGTGGGCTCAACTCCCCCTTCTAAATTCCTATAGTCCTAAAAATGTTGGTTAAATATTTTACACCAGTAATAATAACACTTTCATTTTTATTTAAAGCTTTCGTGACTGCAGGGATTCATATTCTTGGTTCTTTCGGTAAAGTCACATAGAAGGGAAACAATAAAATAATAAAAATATAAAACAATAAAATTATCACGGCGTTTTGACTGCAACACAAGCAATCATCATCAAGTGTGAAAACCACAGCAAGAAAATTTTCACTTAAAAAAATTATTGCTGTGGTTTTCACACCTGATGATGATTGCTTGTGTTGCAGTCTAAACGTCGTGAGAATTTTATTGTTTTATATTTTTATTATTTTATTGTTTCCCTTCTACGTGACTTTACCGAAAGAACCTAGAATATAATAACACTTCCATTTTATATTGCATCATTCATACTAAGAGCATCCCATAACGCTGTACATCAATTATACAAAAGGACCATATATCATACACAGCCACTACCAAGCAATTGAAAATCCTACTACCAAGCAAAATAAAAAATTACCAAAAAATCATGAAAGGGCACCAAAGCAAAAAGCACAAATCAGCAAAAAAAAGTTATCACAACAAGGCAATGAGTCCATGAGGTCTATTACTAATCCCAGACCACAATCCCAACTTCCCAACCACAGGAGGGGGGACTAATTTACATCAATCGGTCCAATGTCCAGTGGCAGGTTTTCCTTCAGCCTTTTGTAACATACATAGGAGGTGAAAGCTGAAGCAGAATGCACGACAGACAAAAGCGCATCGTATCATTAGTCATCCTGTTCAGCGATGAACAAACGTTTATGCATTTTTCCTTCTAAGGCCATACCAGTGTTGTTGATGGATGCATTGAGTATTTTTGTTTGTTATGCGTGCACTCGTGCACCACTGCCAACGCGGCAGCATCGCTGAACAATTAAGCGTGCAAGCAAGTTTGTGTCACGGGGGCCGACCTGGTTGCTCTTCTCGGCCTGGCTGCCGCGGTTGGAGTCAGGAAAGTGGATGTGGCAGCCCGTGTTGGCCATGACGCGCTGAATGTTGGCGCCACCTTTGCCGATGACGTGCGAGTGCTCCGTGTGGGACACGTCCATTTTCAGAGTCACCCGGTTGCTCTGTCAGAGTGAAAACGTCAACGTGATTTTTCTGGTTAAATGACCATTGACAATTGAGGCGTGGCTCCTCTTCTCGAGTTTACAGCCCTGAGCCAGTGGTGGGCATTCTACGTTCCTGCCACAGGGTTGTCTGTTTAACACAGGCTTTCGCGACCAATATTATCCATAATAGAGATGTTTTTTGGCTCACAAGTGACGACATAACACTTATCCCTCTATTTAAGGACAAAACAGGAGGATTTCTCCACAAATCTGGCTATCTCCTGATGATGCTAGTTGTAATTACTGGCAAAACGTTGTACTCGAATGTAAATGCTATGGCTTTACGCTCCAACACACCGGTGTGCTGTACTAGTAACGAATTGGCATGTTTGTTTATGTGACAAACCTTACTACTTGGCTGTGTCGAGTGGTGGTAGGTTTAACGACACATTTATACTTACGCAATCTAACCCAAATAAACCTCTATTAGGGGTCAGTCTATCCATATGACCAACCACTGTAGACTTCCGTACAGAATGGTACTAATTTTATCCAACCCTCGAGGGATAATGGGCTGTCAACCGACAAACCTGGATGTGAATTCGCATTCATCCAATTGCGAGCCACTCGCTCTACGACTGAGCCACCTGGCCATATTACCAGATTATGTGGGTGCCAAACGTTAAAATGTTTATCTCTTCAAACCATGCAAGCCATCTTTGGAAAAAGAAATCTGAGAACTCTTATTGCCTGGCGGTCCTGCCAATGCATTTTGTCCGTGTTGGAGACATTTGTCAAATTTTATCTAACAGTATATATAACCATCTTGCATCTTCTGCCATTGAAGTCACTGTCAATTTTAAAAGTCAGTCTTCAAACTGTGGCTCTTTAAAAAAAAAAGACTTTTCAAACTCAGTGTGAGCATGCGAAGCATGTGTGCTCATCGAATGCAGTGCCTGGGTGAGGCATAAAGGATTTGTGTGTTTCACTAAAGGTGCCTTCAGGTGGCTTTTCGATTAAAGTTGCGGTTAAAATGTGAGTTACCATCATTATTATTATCTTAGAGGTGGAGGGACCTCTCTCCTAGATTGTGTCAAGGCCTGCTCCTACCACAGGCTGAAGGGGTGAAGTCGGGGCATTGTAGGTCCAAACACCCACATTCAAGCAATCGACTAACCTCGAAGCTCCTTACACTTTTACGTTGTCAGAGTAAATTTATAGGAACCGTTTTTCCGAATAATGCTGAGCACATGAAGGCGGGTAGGGATTGTTATTGTAAGGCTCTCCACGCATTCTTGTATTCTTGCGGCAATATTGTAGGCATATGAATGGTTTGGAGGCATTCTTTTGAACGTATAAGAATATTTGCTTCAAACTTTTCATAACATTTCTCGCTATGAGAACATCCACCCCTGCAGAGCAGAGGTCCTACCACGAAGGTGCTCGTGAATAATTCGTGCGCTCTCTCGGTGTTATGAGACGTCAGGAGACAAGATGTCACGTCACGTCTATTCCTGCCGTGCGTCTGCACGGAGAGAGGGCGATGTTGTGGAGCCAGGGGGCGTACCTTGGTGTCGAGCACTGCCATTATCTTCTCCTTGGCGTCCCTGATGTTGTCTCTCTTGCCGCAGACTTTGATGTGAGGATCTGCACAGAAGGGTTGCGGGATTAGCTATATTACTACACAATCCACTGCCACTACCGCTCGTAAAATATCATGTGTGCTTAAGAAATCTCTCTGTTAGCGGTCATTACGATGTCTCTAACTTCTGTTTAACACGTAGGCTTTCGCGACCAATATTATTCATAATAAAGGTTTTTTTTAACTTCTGTATGTTTCCCAAATCCACGTGTTCCTCTTCCTTAGGGCAATTCCAAGCAAGCACCTCTCCATGCTCCTTTGTGCACCTCTCAACATTTGCTCTAAAGGAAGTGGGTTTGGGCAAGACAGGTCGATGCAAGGGACGATGGCCGGTAGTTGAGACTAATGACAGTGGCAGCCATAGAATTTGAGTTAATTTTATTTGTTACATGGAGGATGGTACCGTTCAGCCAGTTGCCCGGCTATTTTACATGGGAGATCCACGGTGCTGTGGGAGCGCAGCAGCAGCAGCAGCGGTGGCAACAAAAACATTTTTTTTTTTAAAACATCGACATTGCAGAGAAGGAATGGAGCAGGGTCCTTAAGGAATGTTGCACGACGAATGAGATATTTAACGGTCAGAAACGAAGCACACGCACATCTAATGAAATGGTGTATGTTAAAGAGGTAACATGCCCCAAAATACGTCTCTACCGCTGTATTGGAGCAATTAAATCAGATCGTGTGCAGGTGCTGGATAGATTGTCGCATCGTAAGACTGTGAGAGGTGGCAGTCGCGTCGACTCCAGGATTCAGTGTTCTACTCATCTAAAGAGCCTCAGAACCATACCCTACCAGAATGTCGTTTGATCACCACATGCAAAAATATCATCAGGTCCTGTAATTTTCATGTCAGGGCTCTACGACACATCCGACCACTATTGGGTCATGACATAGCCAACAGGGTGGCGTGTAGCAGAGCATCGACAAGGCTTGATTCTTGCAACTCGCATACATACCTGGTAATAGAATATAAATTGGTTACAATCATAGAGACAGACACACAAACGGGCAGAGGGTTTGTGGGGTTGTAATTCGAAAACACGGGAGAGAACTTGCTCGGAGTGCATGTGTGTGTGTCCACGTATGTGCTATGTGGGAAGGCGTGAAGGGCAGTGGGTGACACAGGGCTTCTAGAAACCTAAGAAAGCAAAACAAAGTATATGACAGCATCCAGCTGCATCTGGCTGGGTGTGCTTGGACAGCCTACGGCCGTGACACCTTTTACTATACCAGGGTTGCCTGGCACCTTATAACGCTAGGTTGAAAGTGGCCGCCAACACAAACACGCAGCTGCAATCATGTTACTCGGAATGCAGCATGCAATAGCAAGAAAGCCTGTTCAGCACATGGCTTATTAATCCAATTGGATTGACTGCAAATGTCAGGCCAAATCGTCGGCATCGGCCATGATCTATCCACCGACGGATGAAGGCCTCACCAACCCATCACCATCTCTCACAGTCTTGTGATGCAACAATCCATCTAGCCCCTGGACAAGAGCTGATTTCATTACTTTACCACTGCGGTGGACGTCCCTTTCAGGCCTGTCCCCTCCTTTGGTTGCCACCCTTAGTGTTCGTCTCAACCACTGGCCATCATCCCTTCTAAGAATGTCTTGCCCAAACCTTCAGACTTCAAGATGACACTTGTAACATGTGTTTACCCTCTGATTCATGTGTTTCTTATTCTGGCTCTCAGTATATTTCCAAGCATTTCCACTTTCATTGCCAGTGTCTATGTTTCTGATCCATATATCATACCAGGTAATGTGCACTGATTGAAAACCTTTTTTTTCTTTTGGCACATTGGATTATGACAGTGAGTATACATTTCAGATCTTACGTGAACACCAAAATTGATCCGAGAGAATGCCGAGTTAAAGTCCTGTGTACAATGTGCAGTTGACAGATGTTGAACATTACACCGCACAACATGCTGCACCCTGAAAATTACATGGAGAGTAAAATTCAAATCGGTTGAAGGAATTTTCAAAATTGCCCTGATAAAAATTCCCCCTTGCTTTTAGCTGGATCACTGACTGTGGCCGCCGATTTCGCCTTCCTGATGCCATAAGCACCAATGCGTTGGGTTAATATGTTTGGTTAATGTTTTGTAAAGAATGACACACAGAGGGAAGAATGTTTCTGCTTAAAATCTGGGCGAAGCCAGCTCTCGGAGTTATCGCTTGTTTTTTTCTCCATACAACAGTTTGACACTCCCTCGTTTGTGAACCAGAAATATGATCAGACACATTCCAGACTTTTGTAAAACAAAAAAAAAGGACAGGTCGCATAAGTTTATTCCCGTGCCAAAGAACACACCGAGATTTTTAATATCGCCGTGCTACACGCAGCTTAGGCGTCCCGGCTGCCCGTCCTGTCTTATGGTTGGCACACTCAGTGCACACTTTTGTCAGAAGGCTAATTAAACGTTTCATTGCTGTTGTCCTGCTCGGTGCAGATGTGTGTTACTGGCCAAGCCGATGGGGCAACGAACGAGTTTTGAGTGACTATAAACGGAGGTTTATCCGAACCGTTTTAAGTTTCTGCTCGTCCCTGGAAACACCGAACGGAGCCAGCAGTTGAATGCCGATCGCAAGACCCATTCAGACCCCTGCAGCGCGCAATTTTACAGCAGCTCTGGCTTGGCATAGCTTTGTCGGTTTACAATCGGAGCAATCGTGACTGATAAAGAATGTTTGCGTGAAATCTCTAGGTATCTGACATCTTTATGTCTGTTTAAAACAAAATGTTATAGGGCCGTACATGATGAAGGGTAAGATAAAAAAAACAAAAATCTTAGGGCAGCATGCGCTGGATTTCTTTACATATTGACTTTGCATATATTATACGCAGCGGAGCAGTTCACGGCTGAGAATACGAAGTGTATTAAGTTTGTTTGTTTGGGTTAAAAACGATGAATCAGCAGTACGTTGGGGGTGGAGCAGTACGCAGTGGTTTAGCGCGCTGCTCTACAAATCCGGTCACCTGAGTTTCACTCCTGGCTATGGAACACATGAGTGGTGAGTGCTATCTGAACCTGTCCTGGTTAAATGACCCCCAAGACCAACAACACATCGTGGGGAGTGCCTGCATCCAGAGCAATGGATTGACAAAGCGACTGAAAATGATTATTTTATCAAATTAATATCTACAACAAAAACATGGTATTTATATATATACTGCCAAATGATAAAAAAATGCATAAAATATTCTTATCTTCACAAAGCTAGGGCAAAAGGCGTGCTTTCCCATCACACACGATAGCCTGTTGGACACAACCGTGCACGGTGGTTCCCAAGTGGAATCCTAAGGAGGGTGAAGTTGGCAAGCGGCTCAAATAGCTCCAATCGACACGGCCGGACTGGTGCACAACCACGGATATCTGTGCGTGGGTCGCGGGTGCCGTATACACTCCCGCATGGCCTCCCCCTGCTCTTCATTACTGCACCCTGGTGTCTTCTCAATCCCCGTTCTTGGCAGAATTAAAGGTTAGCACATTTGTCTTCTGTCGCTGGTAATGTTGCCGTCAGCTCGTGTCAAAGGAATTCCAGTGGGGAGCGTTTGGGTTCCCCGGGAGATTTTCCTTAGGAACGCAGCACTCCTCGTGCTTTTGTGTCTGGTGATTTTTTTGTGTTTTTTTTAAACACAAAGTTGCTTTAGAGTACAACCGACTCACCCTGCACCCATGCCCAACCATCACTCCAGGCTCCAAGCCTCCTCCCACCAATCTGATCTCTTCAACTCGTCCTTTCTCAGATAAGAATTCCAGAGGTAGCAGTTCAGCCTCTGGCTCCAGCGAATCCACACATTAATATAATGCCCGTGCCTCCAAACGCAGCCATTGTGTACACAGCTGGCTCCACTTTAAATCATGTTTTTGATGGCTGCTTTGTGCCGATATTCGGCACGGCGTGTATCATATTAAAATAAACATGCATAGGTTTTATGAACTTCCATTTACGTCGACAGAATGTTTTTTTTTCATGCAATCAGCAAACAACCCACTTTACATAAATCAAGGTAATCAGCCTGCGCGATTTTTCTTATGCCGCCTCATGAATGCAATGATTATGTAGATGTGTGTATTTTAAGAAATTTTACCGCAGTGTTTCTGTTTTGGTAATGCTTGCGAGGAGGGTATAATATTGTCGAGTGCTTGAAGCACTGACTACCTTGCAGGCTATCCCACCAGGCCCAGCCACTGCCTGTAGAATAGTGGCTGGGCCCTTGGCCGTATCCTGGCAACCGTCGTCATTGGCAACATGTTTGCACACATAAAAAGCTCTTGAAATTAAAAAGAAACACGGAACAAGTGGAAAAAGTCACTGAACCTGCAAGGTCCTGACGCCTTAGGTGGGTGCCCACGCACACGAACTAGGAGGGGGTTAGAAATGAACGAAGACGTAAAACCAGATGTTGTCGTTATCCTCCAGAGAGAGAGAGAGAAAACATCTCAAATGCACGATGTACATTCAAAATATACAAAGATAAAGATTCATTGCCCGCAGCAGACAAATGCCATGAAGCCAGAGCCACGTATGGTGTGATCATTCGGAAAGCTTTTGCTTGTCGGTTCCTACAGCCAGTGGTTACGACGACGCAGAGAAAAGCACTTTCATTAAATGCGGAATATAAACTGCAGAAAAAAAGACAACAACCTCGCGGCTATTTGTGTTGCAGGCAATATAAATTCCAGTGCTTTTGGCCACGTATGCTTGCGTGTTGCCTCTCTGATGAGCCCCGTCAAATGAAACACACTTGTCGGCCGGGTAGGTGGCCCTGTCCAAACCAACGGTGGCGACCTTGCTACGATCACGTCCGTCACTGCCCTTCTCATTTGCAACAACAACAACAAAAGAACGGGGGCATATTTTTTAGTGGCGCTGATCAGATAAAACAAATAAGACACGGGTCTGCCGCACGAATCCAGAGCAAAACAAAAAATGGGGGAGCCGGCGATTCAACGGGGTCAAATGCAATGACGACCGCAGGGGTTGAAC